TCTCTAAAACTAAACATAAGCCTGCTGCGGATGAGTTAAGTGCTGGCCCTAATGGGTTGTGACCTCCATTGGCAAACATCCTGTGGGGACCTGGCCACACCCTAGGACCCTCAACTAGAATCAAAGCCATGAGTCAACGCCCAGGCTTTTGACCCCGACTTCGGAGTGACAACTTAATTGTGGTTCACGGACAAACAAATTCCATTTTTCGCGGCGAACTTTCAACACGCCCGATCCCAATGACAACGGCATTAATAATTCAATTTGGTGAGGCGGACGCGGAAGCGGAAGGGGAGCCTCGCTGGCTGTCTCAATATTTGGCAATTACTTGGCCCGGACCGGTGGCAGGTGCATGGCCAACACCCGGCACTTGGCTGAGGCGATATCCCCGGCCTAATCCGTTTAACCTCCATGTCAACTGGGTCTGCCGTGACCCGTCGCCAGACGCAATCTAAATTACCCTTGGCTTGGTCCTGGCTTGGTCCTGGCTTCGTCCTGGCGCCGCAGGATGTGTCGTCACATCCTGTCACAGGCTAAAGTGTCGTTTTAATAAGCGTTTCGCAGCCCCACCTTTGTGTCTGTGTGCGGGTGATGGCCTTGTTTTCATTTTTGCTAATGGCCCACAAGTCGGCCATTGTAAAGCCGACCTAAGACGCACGGCTCTCCATTCTGGTGATGATGATGTCCCGAGTCCTAGGACATTAGCCTGGCTGCGACAACAGGCGACGAAGGACGAGCGCCTTTTGGGACTCGCTCGTAATGCATTCCGGCAAATGAACTTATTAGCTTTGCCAGCAGAAGGATGAATAGACGTTCCATTCTGGGTTCCGAATGGCCATATCAGGGCACTTTGGAGTGCCATAAAGTGTGTAACCTCACCGAATTTACCAGTATGAAACGACTTCCTGGGCAAAATGCTTTCAAATTTCTCAAAGTGCATGTTGAAAGTAAAAAAATGTACCAGTATATGGCAAATACTTAAGAAATTCCCTCGAATATGCTCGGCTAATGTGTTGTTAAGAGGGGGCAATCCTGTAGGATGTACATAAGCTCTGAATAAAACCGAGGGTGTGCTCGGCATACGACTCAATCTTCGAATCCAATCCTCGGGGCGGATAAATGTGCTGGGCAATTTGTAAATGTAACTAACAGATACAAATCTGCTGAGGATGCGCGGCCGGAAAGGAAGAAGGCACATAATCAAAATTAAAATAAGAATCTCATCGCTCAGCCGCAGACGCAGAAACCGAAACAGAAACAAAAACAGAAGCAGAGCCCTCGAAAGAGATACAATCCGAGAGATATGACAGTGGGAACAAACGACCCAAACAAATTACGCATTTTCCTCCGCTTTATTGTTGGCAATTTATTCGCAGCTAAATTGAAATACACACCATTTACCTGCAGACACAACGCACAACCGCTGACTCCCGGTGACATTGACAAACTGGAGAAGTGGCACCGGAGTGGGGCACTTTTGATGGGTTTAGTTGGGTCGCTCCAGATCGTGACATCATACCACCCGCCTCCCCCAACTGGCGTCACTTGGGGTCAAAGGGCGAGACAGCTTGACATTCTCTGGGGCAGGGAACAAATTCCATTAAAAATATCAGATTCGATCATCTCAGTTACTAGACTCCAGCAAAATAAAAACTGTATTATGAAGCTCATGGAGGGTTTTAAACTGAAGTGGGCTGAAAAACTACCCTTTACAAGTATTTCAGTTTAATAAAATGTTGCTTTTAGAAAAAGTAAATAAATACAAATTTAAATGTCTACATTTAATTCAAATGTATGAAATATTTATAAAGTTAATTTAGTTGCTTTCAAGCACCTCAAGCACTTTATATTGAACTGATTTACTTATCAAGGTTCAATCCTAACAAAACCTTTTTATAACCACATACTGTACGTTTCAAGAGGTGAGTGGAGTACAAGTACTATTTATGCTCGTACTATTTATACTCGAACACCCCGACTAACTTCCATTCCGAGGCTCAATTGGCGTGCTGAATGAATGGCCCTGGCCCGGCAGAGTTTTTGATTTTAATTTAGATAAAGTGCGCTATGGAAATCAGTTTCGCTGTAACTTTCCCCGCTTATCCGGGCTCGAATCGGGCCCAGACAACTAAACACTCCATAAATACAATACAACAACAACAACAGGGGGGCGGGGCAGATCGGGGCGAGCTTAAGGTAAGCTGTAAATTGCACGCTTTCATGTAGATAATTAATCACCGCGAGCATTCGGCAAGTTGCTCGGTTGAGGTTGAAGTTGCTCCTGTTGTGCAAAGTGAAACTCTTCCACTTTTCCACGTGCCACTGAAGATTCGGCTTTGCGGCGAATGTAAATGCAGTTTCGAGCAAATTTATTCCTGATCTTATCCCTATCCGTATAATTTTAAGTTCACAATGCTAACGGCGAGGCATTGTGGAGTCCGAGATTTATTGTTGCCGCCATTTTCGGAGGCATTCGCGGAAGTCAAATCAATTATACGCCCTGTTGGGCACTCGCCGCACGAAAGGAAATTGAAATTATTTGATATAAATTAATGCAATTAAGCATTCGGCTTAGCTCAATGGGGGGATTATGGCTGAGTACAACACAGTCCTGGTCAAAATATCTCTTAATATTATTGAAAAGTATTAAAAAGACGCATCTTTTTGCAAACTTGCTGTTATTGTAACTGATAAAATGTTTACAGGACTTATTTTCGTTTAAAATTTATAACTTCTCCAGCATTGCAACTTTATGTCTAGATTTTATCTTCTGCTTCCTTAGCATTTGTGAGTAAATCCACATGAATTGCCATTGATTTAAAAATAAAATACATTTCTCAAGCCAAGTAAACACATTTATAAAGTATACACTTCCACATATTTCTCTGTATATTGCTGAAAAACAATCAGCCCTAACTAAGAGGATAAAAGCACTCGAAATTGAATCGCCAGAGCAGCTGGGACTGGAATTGGGTTTGGGAAACTTTGGACCTTCACGTGCATTCTGAGAGCATTTGCCATTGCAAATAGGAAAATATTTAAATGTAACTCAATTCCGAACGCAATATGCGCTTTGGAACCACTCGGGGCGGGGCGGAGAGCGTGTCCTACTGCCGTAAAGCAGGATATTCTGATTTGATTTATTTATAAGTTCAATTTGCGCACATTATTTTTCCAATATTAAGCTTTGATGGGAATGCAATAAGAGGCGACTGGTCCCCAGGTCCACTGGGGAATGCAAACGAAAATCAATTCAATTTGCCAGTTGGCAAGTGCAAAGCGAATGCCAAATGAAGATGACTAATGCTCGTGACAATGGGTTGATAAATCCAGCAACATCGTCTGACGAGCGGGAAACAAGAGCAGCTCTCCTTCACACATCGCAAAAGTTATGTCCTTGCATTAGCAGTCTCAAGTTTTCCTTGTCGAGCTGGAAAACTTGCTGGAAAAATGCAAGCAGACGAACAATTGCCGGGGAAAATAAAAGAGAGAGAGAGGGACTTTTGGCGAGCTGTTTCTTCAGTTGCTGCACATAATTACATGAAAAGAAAATTAGTGTCGAGATTCGCCTTGAGCGCCTCTCCAGGTGAAAACTTTTAATGAGCAATTTTCTCACAAATTCCCAAGTGTTGCCGCATTTAATTTTTTAATGAAGGATTTTTTATTTGGTTTGGCTGGCAGGCAGCAAAGGAGGGTGTGGGAAAATCTGTCGGCAAGGACTTCCATTTCGAGCACTTTGCCTTTGAGTTCCTCAATCACTATTTCGGCTTCATTTAGGACTCGCATATTTCTCCATCTCGATCCTTTGCCATGTTCCCGGAGTGCGTAATTGGGGGTGTGAGTGGTTGGTGGGTGGTTGGCCGGCCATCTAGGTGTTTGTTTTTATTTATCGGCAGCACAGAGAGAGAGAGAGCCCTGACCCACGTTAATGGCCGATTGACACGCCACTTGGCCTTGATGGGGCTTTTAGCCCGGCCCGCACTTGACTGCTGCTCCCCAAAAAACAGACGAGCCGCTTCTGCCGCTCCGCACTTTCGCAGGATTAATGGTGGGGGAAAGTGCCCGGCCGAAGGATTCCCACACTCGCCGAACGAACGGAACGAGGTGCTAAGCGAGCGTGCTGATTGCTGCCATTTTTGATAAGGAGTCCGCATTAATATTTCCCTTGCTCCCTTGCGTTGGCTCCCACCGTTTTGTCCAGTCCGCTGATGTATGGCTGCGACTCCGAGGGCTCATTAACACCTAGAGTTGTAGATAAGTTAGCAAGTTGTACGCCATTAGTTCACACTTATGGTAACAGGCGTTTAAATACCTTCTTTTTTAGAGAATAACCCCGATCCGATCTAGTCGTCGTTCCCCAGATTGTAAGTCAAAGCATACCTTCTAAATTGGAGTTTTCTCTGGCAAGGAATTCGGTTTATTTCCCCCCTTCGAAATCAAAGGAATTATCCCGGGATGGCCGACTATACGAACCTGTTCAGGTGCCGCAAGGCAGTGATAATCTTATCTGAGGTTGCCGAAACCCGGTAAAAGGAGGTTTGGTTTTCCTGCTGGTCAATCTTTCTGCCACATAAACAGGCAAATAAAAGAGCCATTTGGCTGGTCTCCATATTCATAAATCTGCTGGCCGGCCAGGTCCGAGTGGCCACGTCCATAAATCGACATTTCCCAGAATGACATGACTTGTGGGTGGCTTCAAGCCAAGCGAGCAGACGGCTTGCCTTCCGACTAAATCAAGTGTCTGTTCGGTGTCAGTTTAATTGCAAACGTAAATTGGATGCTGTCATTTGCTACGTTTTCATTTGTTCGAAAGTTGCCCAGCCCTCCTGCTCTCCGAGAATCAGAATCCAAATCAGAATCCCAGTCTGTGCAGCACCCCTGGCAGTTTCCATCCGTTCTGACGGACATTTCTGCCAGCTGCTCGAGAATCTCGCAACTAGAGTCTCCTCCGCCCAGAATGCGAACGCTGCACAAATCCCCAGTTTTGTTAATTGGACTCATTTTGCTAGCTGCCAGCTTGTGTATTTTAAATTGACATTTGTGACAGGCCACTGGAAAATTGCGACGTCCTAATTTAACATGTGCAACATGGTGTCGGGCTTAATAGTACCAGTCCACTTCTGTTGCGGCCGCCTGTTTCTTGGCCTTCTTCTTCTGCTTCGACTCCTCCCGCTTCTGCAGGACCACCCAGTCGTAGATCCGGTCGTTGGTGAAGTTCATTCTGCCCATCAGGAAGAGGAAGGAGTGCCGGATGGTCTGGTACATCGGCTTCTCCCCGAATCCCAGCTCCCGTGTGTAGCCGATGAAGTGGTACAGCTCCTCGGGCAGGCCTTCGCACAGATCCTCCGGCCGCGTGGAGAGCTTCATCTCGGCGATCATCTCGTGCTTCTGCGTCCTGGAGGCGCCCTGCAGGCCCTGCCAGGGCAGCCTGCCCCGTAGGAGGTACACGAGCACGTAGCCCATGGACTCCATGTCGTCCCGGCGAGACTGCTCGCCGCCGCGAAGCGCGTTTATGGAGGCGTAGCGCGCAGTGCCGGTCAGCTGGCTGCCGGTCCTCGGCCTGCTCAACGCCACGTTCCGGTACCGCTTGGCCAGGCCGAGATCGATCAGGTACAGCTGGTGGCTGCTGTCGCCCCGGCCCATCAGCAGGTTGTCCGGCTTGATGTCGCGATGGATGAAGCCGTGCGAGTGCAGGAACTCCAGCCGCTCCAGCATCTGCTCAGCCAGCATGAGCACTGTCTTCAGCGAGAACCGGGAGTAGCACACCTCGAGGAGGTCCTCCAGCGAGGGACCCAGCAGCTCCATCACCAGCACGTTGAAGGGTCCGTCCATCAGGTAGTTGTAGATCCGCGGGATGCCCGGTCCCTCGCCCAGGGTCTTATAGAGTTCGTGCTCGGAGCGCAGCTGCAGATTCCGGTTGCCAATGTGCTCCACCTTCAGGGCCACGTGCATCCCCGTCACCCGGTGCTTGGCCAAGTAGATGTCGCCAAAGGAGCCGGAGCCCAACTTGCTGACTACCAGGTAGTCGTGGATGCCGAACGAGGTAAACATCTCGTCTTTTTCAGCGATTTCCATGCTTTCAACACTCATTTTGATAGGCAAAGAAGTGGTCAGCTTTTAATTATGGGAACTTTTTGAGCGCAGTAGGCTAGGGTTGCAGCGGCGTATGCTATCGATAGCTTTGCTTCCGTTTGGCGTTGCCAGACTGTAAAGTGTATGCAGACTACAAACAAAGTTAAAGCTGTTAAAAAATATATTCAAAAACAGACTGAGAAATTGTTGATATATTTGTCATACAGAAATTAAAGAAAAGAACATTTCAAAATGTCTGCTTCAAGAAACGCAAAACCTACAATTTCTCAAGAGTTTTTAATAATGCGATCGAAATACGAATTGAGAGTAAACCAATTAGAACGCGATGTCTACCGCATTTTGAAAAAAGTTTATAGGTCGGAAGATCTAAGTAGCAGTTCTTCATCGAAAAACCACTCGGAAACGGAAAAATATGTGCATTGGGAGTATGATTTGCGAGATTTTCCCTTGGGGAACATTGCCATTAAACTAAAGGATCAGCATGTTTATCTTCAGGCATTTAGAAGAAGCCGCGGAAAAGATCTGGAAATCAAAAGAGAAATTTTGATGCCCTGAAATGTGGACAAGTCCAAAATAACTGCTATATTGACAACCCGCGGTATTCTAACATTCTCCGCGCCAATTGTAATACCCTTAACGGACGACCAGAAGTTTATGTTTTGAATATTGTTTTTAAATATTATAAAAATAACCTGTAATATATTTTTATAATATTGATTTGATTTTTATGGTTCTGTAGTTCAGCAGAATCCTAAAATATATATATTTAAAAAAAAGGGAGTTAATGGTCCAGCTACTTACTGTAAATGTGCTGAATATTGTTTCGAAGACACGGTCCAGACGGATACTGTAAATTAGGGCGAGTTACGATTTGAATTTGAAGAAACTTAGAATGCATACCATTTCTCAGAAAGGAATCTGTGGCTTGGAGCAAGGTGTCCAGCAGATTACAGAGTCCGGTCTACGAAAAAGATTTGGATTGGGAGTCGAGTTTGATTGGTTCATGGGACCGGGAACACAGGGAAATATCATAATGTGAGGAGTGGGTCGAAGAAAGGGACCCTGGGACTCGATTTGTTGCTCGGTTCTAAAGCTCTTCAACAACTCTCTCTTCAGCTCCTCCACAAAGCTCCTTCGGCAGGAGGACACGTTTTCCCAGTCAGTCATGGGGTTTGGGCAGCTTAGATCTCCTCGAATGCTGGAATTCGTGGAATCCTGTAGAACATCCTTTGGCAAAGCTGGAGTTTGATTTGGACCAGCACAACAAGCTAGTTGCATGTTTTTTGCACTTTGATTAGTACTCACAGTATTGTTATTTTTCAAGGAACAACAAGAGCACTTGGTCGTCTTTGAATCCGAAGTCTTTTTTGAGTTATTCGGCGCAAAATTAGATTTTGTACGAAACTCTAAGGAAGATTTTCGCTTTGGTACTGCGGAAATACTTCTGGGACTTTGTCTCGGCCAACTGCAACTTCTTCGAGGGGGCACTTCCTGTTTTCTATCATCGTCAAACTGGAAATCGTGGCTCTGGGATCTGTGGCATTCATTTTTACGGATGTTATCCATATCCTGGTTTTCCCCTGAGCTTACCGATTTATTACTTTGGCAGGATCCGCTTACCGATCCGCTTAAAAGACTTTTTGAGCTATTTGTTTTCAAGACAACCTTTTTGGGTGTTGCTTTTTCTTGGCAATTGTTTACACCTTTCAGACTTGACTTCTTGATTACATCATTTTGATCACTTTGTGGTCTGGAGCACATTTCAATGGTATTTGGTAGGGAAAGGCCAGGTCGACTGGGTCTTGAAGAATTCATTTCTAGCTTATCAGGGGACCAGCTAAAGCCGGGATCTGGTTGGGATTGAGAGGTATTCGATTTATGGGTTACGGTCCAATTGGTGTTGATCCGATGACGGGGGCAGAGGTTCTCCACAGATCTTTTTTGAGGATTTTCCGGAGGTTTTGAACACGCTTCAATGCTTTTTCTATTGCTGGAATCCCCTTGTGAGGTTTGAGTTTTTTGGTTGCTGGAAGCACAGTTTTTGAAGCTGTTAGGTGATTTTCGACTGACAATATCTTGAGAAGCGTTGGAAGCACAGCTTTTGGAGCTATTCGATATTGATGAAGAACTATTGTGGGCAGAAGGCAGCTGAGGGAATCTGACGTTTTTGAATTGACTTCCCTGACTTTCACAAGTCGAGCTACCACTAGCGTTTCTCGAAACTGAAAGATTGGGTGCTCTTAAAATACTTATCTGGGAATCCTCATTAGAGTCAGATTTGACTATTTGGGTATTGTTTTTCCACAATGGTTTTTCCTTTACGATTTTGGAGGATATTATCCGAGGGCTGCCAGTCAAACTCACATCCGTTGCATGAATCGTAAGTCGAAGATTTATTTCACTCTCCTCCGTGGAATTTCCACTCTTATTCCCACTACAATTTCCGCTGGACACTCGGTCAAATTCTTTCGCGCAGGAACTCTTCGGATGGAGGCTGGGTCTGAAATATTGACTGGTTTGTTTACCTAATTCCCGATCAAAATGATCATACTGATCGTTATTTACCTTCGAGCGATGGTTGGTTGAACTCAACACGTTGAACATGGAGTACTCATGATAGAGCTCATTATTATTTTCAAACAGCTGGTTGCATTTTCCCCTGTAAACAGTGGGATAATGGCATTCCCTTTTCTTTTTCGAACAACACCTTTGGCAAGTGATTTCTACAGACGGAAACTTTTTCTTTAGCTCCTGCAAAGAATGATTACTTGGGGCGAACTTTGGAGAGCTTAAACCAGAATCGGGAATTCCATTTGAGCAGTCACAATTTGGGCTTCGATGTCCTGGCTTGCAGTTGTCCACTACTTTTGATTTGTTTCGAAAGATATTCGTTCTTGATAAACGCATTTTTGATCTCCTAAAAAATCCTGATATTTTTTGCCTCATTGTTTTGCGTTTTCGATTTTTGCCAACTTCACAAATGGGTGATTGTGGTTTCAATGTCTTTTGGGTTAAGAAATTATAACCCAGATAAGGTACAGGATTGATGGCTGATCTTAAACTTGGAGCAAAAGTTTCACATCCCGAATCCGATCTTTTGGGTAGATATTCACTTTTCCTTGGCAGACTTCGACTCCGTTCCTTCTTTTTATAGGGTATCTCGATGGTGAAGAATATTGATGATGGCGTTTGGATTTTTTTATGTATTCTATGAGGAATTTCCGAACCAATATTGAATTCCTTTACCCCTTCAAAGTCAACAGGTTTCTGACGATCTGGTAAGGACATTCGATTTTGAGATTCTCTGAATGATTCATCCAAATTTATCTTATTTTCATTTTTGTTTCTGCGAGAAAAATCTTCTTTAAAATATTTTTTAAAAGAGTTTGGGGTTGACTTTTCAGCAGTTCTGTGCAATTTGTATATCTTTTCTAAATTATTTTCTATAGAAAATCGATTAGTTGCGTCTTCAATATTTTGTTCATATTTTTTGGGTGGAGCAAGACGTAAAAGGTCTTCAGATATTCTTCTGTATTTGATTGGAACTTCTTTAGTTTCCTTAAAGTGGTTGCAACCTTTTCGAGGTCGAAATTTTATTGGCTGATAATATTTTTTGCATCCCACGTATTTATTTTGGTGAGCTTCAGGTTTCTTTAACTCACTTTCAGTATGATAACTTATTGTGGGACAATGGGATCGGCTGGTAATATCTTTGTTTTCAAAAGAAGATTTTGCGTACCTTTTGTACCTAGGTTGCGGTTTAGGAAACGGAGTAGGAGGTGGTGTCTTCCTTATTTGTTCGTAATAATCCGGCAGATCGTTGTTTTGTGGATCTCGATATTCGGCAGGTCGCTCCTCGTAATATTGAGCTGGTTCATTATAATCAAAATTATTATCGTATTCTTCGGGGTCATGAGTATAATAATTTTGATCATAATGGGGAGGTAAAGAGCCGGAAGCTTGCCGATATATCCGATTCCGTCTATAAGTGCTTAAGGGTGGATCAGCTGGCTGATTATCCCTATAGTTCCGGCTAAGTTCATATTGAGGTGGATCTTCAGTATAATGGTAATATCTCCCATAAGGTTGCCTTACCCGAGGTACTTGAAAGTTCTGTTGTGTTGGCCTAGAAGCATAGAAACTGTGTTCATAGGGGCTTTCATATCTGGGAGCGTTGAATGGTTGTAAATTTTGGTAAGTTCGTGGTACTTTTGTTTCTTCCGTATATTTAGGATATTGAGCCATTCTATTGTCGGGTTCATAATCCTCCAACTCAAGAGATTCATCTGGAAAGTAAGGTTCGTACTCCCGAGCATTCTCACTATCTGAAATTCGATTGTACTTTTTATAATTCCCATAATAACCCACAGAATCGAGTGATGGCGATGGGGAAACTGATCCAATATCCATTCGAACCCGTCCCGGTTTAATCATTCGATACTGAACGTGCCTACGACTTTTGGAAAAGGAAGAGTTATCTCTTCGTTGGCGAAAAGCTCGTGGCCTATAATTCCGATAATCAAAACCATCAGGAAAATCGTGACTGGTGGCATAGAATTCATTTGGTGCCCCAAATGACATCGCACTCTCCGTAATTGGATTGCTCAATCCTCCGCCGGGATTGCGTCCTGTGTTTGGGTATGTATTCGTATTCGGGTTAGTGGACGATTGGCAAATGCCGTTAATCAACTCACGCTTGCCACTGAAGTCCGAGGTCCTTGGCGCCATAATCTCGTTTCGGCGGTCATAGCACACTCGTCCCGAAATCCCGACATTGAAAAACATTAATGTCCTCTCCCACTCGCCATCCTTCTTGGTGTCCTCAAATCGGATTAAGCTCCGGTTCGTCATCGTAAATGACATTTTCACCGGCCATGTAACTCGGGCTCCCACTCTCGCCACAAATTGAACTGCAAATTTAATTCATATCGATTGTTTGTTTATGTCAGTGGGTTTTTTTGATACTCTTTTCAAATATGTATGCTTAAATTAATTATCACTTCGCTTGCATGCGATAGTTGAATTGCCAAAAGGGTCGACTATATTTCATTTACATATATCAATTCGCTGTGTAAGAATTACAACGCTCTTACATTTTAAACTGGAATCCCGATAAAGTTGAATCCAGCGAAGAACCTGCACTCAAGGTAGGCTCTAGGTTTATTTTATTATGCCGCGAATGCCATTAACTTTCGCTTCCTTCACCGTTTGCAGCTCCCGCATTTAATTGCAGGATAAATGCCTGAAATGGCAAACACAAAGGATGTGCGAACGCCAACGGAAATGGGAGTGGGAATGGGAATCTGGATGAGAATGGGAATGGAATGGTCGTCATTACTTGAAGGGTGCTAGAAAATATGCTTTTAATTGCGGAAATATTTCCATTTCACAAATAGATGCGATAATTATTCAGAATGGCGCGAATTTCCATCACATTAAAAGTGCAGACAATGGGGGATAGTAAAATGCAGCTAGCGGATAATGAAAATCGTGTTCAAGTGCGGAAATGCTGAAAATTATTTCAATGAAACACAACTAAGTGCTTTTTAAGTGCCCCCCGACGGTGGCACAAACCAAACGGAAATGGACGCAGTCGAAATTGGTTGGGTGGTTCGGTGACAGGACACGCAGGACACTCACGCTCCCCACCGATATTATAAAACCCAATGAGAAGCGACAGATGTGTGGTTTCGGTTTTCTGGGGCAAGAAATAAAGTCCAATTTGGTATTAATTGATGCTCTGAATGTCTTTTATTGAACTAATTTATAAAGAAGGCTTGGAAACAGGATTCCTAAGTATTGAAACCCCACACGGCATATGATCAAACAATCATTTCAAATGGAAACCATTTTGGGAATCAAGGGAGCTGATTTCGTTTTACTGGCTGCAGATACCATGAAAGCTAAAGCTCTATCGCCGATGTGGCTGGATGATGGTAAGTGGGAGTCCATTTTATAGGATACTTATGTAGTTTTAACTTTTAAAAATCTAAAGATAAATCGAAGGTTCACCGCCTGACTGATCACTCCATGATGTCGGCGGTTGGCGATGGCGGGGACTGTCTGCAGTTCACGGACTTTGTTCTCCGGAATCTGGACCTCTACAAGGTGACCAATGGCTATGACCTGACCATCCAAGGAGCGGTGCACTTCATCCGCAGCAACTTGTCCGCTTATCTGCGCAGCAACGCCAGCTACAAAGTGGCACTTTTGGTTGCAGGATTCGATCCTAGCAGCGGTCCGGAGTTGCACCTAATCGATCCCTACGGCTCCTCGGTTCCCATCCGCTTCGGTGGCTACGGATCGGGCATTAACTTCTGCACTCCCATATTCGAGGAGTTCTACCGACCGCAGCTGGATAAACGGACAGCCTATAACATTATCCAAAAGTGCGTGGTGGAGATCCAGAAGAGATTAGTCATCAACTTGCGCAACTTCGATGTGTACATAATAAGTCGTGATGGTATCACCAAGATGGATCCCATCAACCAGGTGTCCTTAAAAGCTCAACAAAGGGGTAATCCTCCAAGAGTTTAAAGCTTGAACTAGTAATGGAAAACATGATTTTATATTTTTTTAAAAGTTAGTCGGTGTCCAAAATATAATTGCTATTGCAATATCGTTCTCACGAAGTAATTATAAAATGTATTCCACTGAATGACACCATAAGAAGGTGTCCTTTTTCCCAAGTTTCGGCTTTAGGGTGGCGATGTCCTTCGAACTGCAGTCGACCTTCTTCCCCAAGATAATGATTTAATTTGCCAGTTAATAACCCGTGGACAAGTGTGCCAATTGCGCAGAAAGGTGCAATAAAAGGGGAAGCCACCTGCCAAAACTGAATCAGTTAATGGAAATCAGCGAGGAAGGATGACACTCAGCAGGACCCTAAGGATCGAATACTTTCGTGACCAACTGGTCGTCTGGCGAACCGTTGGGGCCTTGGATCTCAGCGAGGGAAACTTTTGGAGTTGGGCGATGTTGCTGAACGTAATTGTGTGCCTAACACCTTTTTTGCTCACAATGATGCTGTTCAGCTTTGAGGATCCCGTAGATAACATCCTAAACTTGAGCATGACCATCACATCCATGTCCGCAATCGTGAAGTTCTCGCTGTACGTGGCTAATCTGACCAAGTTGTCCGAGATCCAATGGCTCATCGGTCGGTTGGATGAGAAGATTTCTGGGGAATACGAGGTGAAGCGCCACCAGGCGATGGCCAAGCATCTTCAGAGAATCTCCAAAATCTTTTTGGTCACCTATGGCATGCTGTTCACCAACGCAGCGTTTTCCTTTCTTCTCGAGGAGGAGCGCAGCTTGCCCTTGCCCATGTGGATTCCCTTCGACTGGAAGAACTCAACGGCAGGATATGCAGCAGCTTTGTTTCTCCAGCAGATTGGCATTTTCATTCAAGTCCTACAGAGCTATGCAGGGGACTCGTTTCCACCACTGGCACTCTACCTTCTTTCCGAGCAGTGTCAGTTGCTCATTTTAAGGTTCTCCAAAGTGGGTTATGGTTCCAAAACTCTGAAAGAAAACGAGGAGGATCTGGTTAACTGCATCAGAAACCAAAATACACTATACAGGTTGTGGTTTATTAAGTTTAGTATGGTTAATTACAATTTCAAATCCCTTTATTCTTTTTTTTTCAGCTTGATGGAAGCAATTCACGGATTGATTTCCTATCCCATGTTTGTGCAGCTTTTTGTAATCGGCATTAATGTTGCGGTGGCATGTTTTGGCCTGGTTTTCTATGTGGTGTCCTTTTCGGACCGAGCTTACTTTCTTTGTTTTTTAATGGCTCTCATATTGCAGAGCTTTCCGCTTTGCTACTATGGAACCGTGTTGGAGGAGAGCTTCGCTGAGCTCCATTACGCGGTATTCTGCAGCAACTGGGTGGACCAGAGTATGAAATACAAAAAACTCATGCTGATCATCTCGGAGAGAACCAAAAGGAAGCAGCTCCTCCTCGCCGGCAACTTGGTTCCCATCCACTTGAGCACCTTCGTGGCCTGTTGGAAGGGAGCCTACACCTTTTTCACTCTGATGGCCGACAGAGATGGTCGGAGAGCCTAGAGGAAAAGTTATAGTAGCATGTTTATTTCACTCACCTATTAGTAAATGAAATACTTAGTGGCAACACAAACACACACAATAAATGCACACAAACTGCACGGTAGAAATAACACTTGAATCAATTTTATTGTAACCAAGGCGATGGAAACTATTTTGGGGATCTAGGGACCGGACTTCGTGATGCTCGCTTCGGATACAAAGCAGGCCAAGTCCTTGATTTTCATAAAGGATGGTGACGCAGTCGAAATTGGTTGGGTGGACATTATAAAAGCCAATGAGAAGCGATAGATGCATGGTTTCGGTTTTCTGCGGCAAGAAATAAAGTCCAAATAAATAAATAAAGGAATAAAGTCCAAAATGATTTTAATTGATGCTCTGAATGTCTTTTATTGAACTAATTTATAAAGAAGTATTGAAACCCTACATGGGATATGATCAAAAAATCATTTCAAATGGAAACCATTTTGGGAATCAAGGGAGCTGAATTCGTTTTACTGGCTCTATCGCCGATGTGGCTTGAAAGCCCAGAAAATGGGTAAACCCCTTCCAAGAGTTTAAATCATGAACTAGTAATGATGAACAAGATTATATAATTTTTTAAAGTTAGTCAATGTGCTATCCCATAAACACTTACAGTTCCGAAATACAATTGCTATTGCAATATCGTTCTCACGAAGTAATTATAAAATGTATTCTACTGAATGACACCATAAAAAGGTGTCCTTTTTCCCAAGTTTCGGCTTTAGGGTGGCGATGTCCTTCGAATTGCGGTCGACCTTCTTCTCCAAGATAATGATTTAATTTGCCAGTTAATAACCCGTGGACAAGTGTGCCAATTGCGCAGAAAGGTGCAATAAAAGGGGAAGCCACCTGCCAAAACTGAATCAGTTAATGGAAATCAGCGAGGAAGGATGACACTCAGCAGGACCCTAAGGATCGAATACTTTCGTGACCAACTGGTCGTCTGGCGAATCGTTGGGGCCTTGGATCTCAGCGAGGGAAACTTCTGGAGTTGGGCCATGTTGCTGACCGTAATTGTGTTCCTGACACCTTTTTTGCTCACAATGATGCTGTTCAGCTTTGAGGATAACATAGACAACATCTTAAACTTGAGCATGACCATCACATCGATATCCATTATTCTGAGGTTTTTGCTTTACGTGGCTAATCTGACCAAGCTGTTCGAGATCCAATGGCTCATCGGTCGGTTGGATGAGAGGATTTCTGGGGAGGAAGAGGTGAAGCGCCATCAGGCGATGGCCAAGCATCTTCAGAGGATCTCCAAGCTCTTTCTGGTCATCTATGGCATTCTGTTTACCAACGCAGCGTTTTCCTTTCTTCTCGAGGAGGAGCGCAGCTTGCCCTTGCCCATGTGGATTCCCTTCGACTGGAAGAACTCAACGGCAGGATATGCAGCAGCTTTGTTTCTCCAGCAGATTGGCATTTTCATTCAAGTCCTACAGAGCTATGCAGGGGACTCGTTTCCACCACTGGCACTCTACCTTCTTTCCGAGCAATGTCAGTTGCTCATTTTAAGGTTCTCCAACGTGGGTTATGGTTCCAAAACTCTGAAAGAAAACGAGGAGGATCTAGTTAACTGCATCAGAAATCAAAATACACTATACAGGTTATGGTTCTGCTATTTATTTTAGAGTTTATTACAATTCCAACTGCTTTCATTCTTTTTTTTTTCAGCTTGATGGAAGCAATTCACGGATTGATTTCCTATCCCATGTTTGTGCAGCTTTTTGTCATCGGCATTAATGTTGCGGTGGCATGTTTTGGCCTCGTTTTCTATGTGGTGTCCTTTTCGGATCGAGCTTTCTTTCTTTGTTTTTTAATGGTTCTCATATTGCAGAGCTATCCGCTTTGCTACTATGGAACCGTGTTGGAGGAGAGCTTCGCTGAGCTCCATTATGCGGTGTTCTGCAGCAACTGGGTGGACCAGAGTATGAAATACAAAAAACTCATGCTGATCATCTCGGAGAGGACCAAAAGGAAGCAGCTCCTCCTCGCCGGCAACTTGGTTCCCATCCACTTGAGCACCTTCGTGGCCTGCTGGAAGGGAGCCTACTCCTTTTTCACCCTGATGGCCGACAGAGATGGTCGGAATGCTTAGAGGAAAAGTTATAGTAGCATGTTTATTTCACTCACCTTTTAGTAAATTAAATACTTAGTAGCAAACACTCAATAAATACACACAAACTGCACGGTAGAAATAACAATCAAATTTATTGTAACCATGGCGATGGAAACTATTTTGGGGATCAAGGGACCGGACTTCGTGATGCTCGCTTCGGATACAATGCAGGCCAAGTCCTTGATTTTCATGAAGGATGGTAAATACATGTACATATACCCCTATTTTGTATAGTATACAATCTCACTTCATATTAGATCAGTCAAAAATACACCGATTGTCGGACTTCAATATGATGGCCACTGTGGGCGACGGAGGCGACACCATTCAGTTCACGGACTACATCTCCAAGAACCTCCACCTGTACAAGATCACCAACGGCTACCACCTGAGTGCCAAGGCAGCGGCGCACTTCACCCGGAAGAACCTGGCCGACTACCTGAGGACGAACACCCGCTACCAGGTGGCCATGCTGGTGGCAGGATTCGACGCTGCCGAGGGTCCCGACCTCCACTACATCGACTCCTACGGCGCCGCACAGCCCATCAACCACGCGGGACACGGATGGGGCAGCATGTTCTGCGGCAGCATCCTGCAGAGGTTCTGGCACCCGCGGCTCACCCAGCCGGAGGCCTACTCCCTGATGGGGAAGTGCGTCCTCGAGATCCAGCGGCGCCTCATCATCAACCAGCGGAACTTCGAGGTCTACGTGGTGGACGCGAAGGGGATGCGCAAGATGGAGCCCATCAATCCGGGATCCCTCAGCAAGGAGGCCATCAGCCTGTGCTGGTAGAGGTAAAGCATTCCAATTCAGATTCATTCCAAAATCATCGCCTAATGCCTAATAATTGTGCAGTTGGATTCCGGCTAACTTTTGCTGCGATGCTCGAACAATTTCCCAGGGATTAGTTGACGTGACCGGTTCGGATTTGGCTGGCTGGAAAAGGGGTTGATGGTTGGGGTTCAAGGGGTAGCCTTGCTACAAGCCATGGTCGACTGCCTCCGTGTATTAGCATATGTGGCCAGCCCTTGTTCTCCATGTGAGCCATCTGTCTGGATGTGGGTGGCTCTGTATTTGTTTGCGCAACAATGATAGAAGTTGCACTTGAAAAAATGTGTAAAGTATAAAATGTGAAATAAATGTATATGAATCTAAAAGGAACTATTAACATTTTATATATTTAAAACATTGTTATCGGTTTGTGGCAAAAATAATTAATTACGATATTTTACTAATTAAAGTTTTTTCCATTGAGGCGCAAAAAACTCTTAAAATTTTATTAAAACAATTAACTTTCACAAACATAGTTAGCTCACCTGGAAACTATAAATTTCTTTTTGTGCACCCTTCACATACATAAAACGTCAACTGCTGCGAATCGGAAGCAGAAAAGCCAACATGTCTCTATTTCCCATTTGAACAGAAGTCCGTCAGGCTGTCGTTCGTTTGGTTTGGTTGGGTTTGAAGTGGGGAGTCGTCAGCAGAACTCATAAAAATGAGCACGGATTGCTGCAAAAATGCACTGCATTGTTCGTTGCTTAGTTTTCGGTCGGAGTTCGAGGGCTTTCCAAGCTGTCCTGCTGCATTTCCCCTGACTTCTGTGCCAGTCAGCGGGTTTTGTTTGTCTGCCAACCGTGGCAGTTGCCATTGCTAATTGGCCGCACATGACAAAGTATCGCCAATCGAGTGGCTTGCCCACTTACGGTGATCGGAACCGTGAAAAGTCAACAATGACAAAGGAAAAGGAAAAGGCAGCGGTCGTGATTCAGCGGAAAATTTAAGAGCTTCAAACGGTCAATTAGCGCGCCAACTTTTGAAAGTACATCACTTTCAAATTGGCAATTAGGTCAAATTATCTGTACAATCAAAAAACAAACCAAAGGATTTCCAATTCTGGTTGGGTAAATAATATTTCTGATTGTTAAAATTATTCCACGCTTCGATGGTTTTGCAATTTCAAAAATTAAGTGCCTCTATTAAGCCCCAACTAAAATATTTGCTTTAATTTGATTTTTTCGGTGCGCACTCAAAAAGCTTAGCACGTAGCCTGCATTCCATTCAAAATTAATTACCAGTTTATGTAATAGTCGAACTGGGATGAAATATATTTATCAATCTCATCATGCACAGCGCTGATTGAAATTAAATTGATTTATGTGCAAACTAATAAAATGTTAAGAGCGGTGAAAAACCAACATATTACCATTCGCTTACATGGAGAACCATTTCTCTCTTTTAAGTTTCCCTGTCGCAGGGGGAACTTTTCCGCAGAAAAACTTCTGACATGCGAGCGTCTCAAATGAACGCGCCTGTCCCAGGACACCTGTCTCTCCGCCTTTTTCCACCTGAAGCTGCGAAATATATTCACATCCTTGTAGGGGAGCAACTTTGGGGGCTTCGGGGAGATAATGTGCATGTAACCCCCTTGTCACTCCCCCCACTCCAGGTGCCACCCCCACCCCCTTTTTCCACCCGGCCATTTGTGACGTTTAAGGACGCAACGAGGCAGCGACTTCCTGACAGGACATTAACTTTCTCGCATCTTCGGAGTCGCTCCATCCGACTGTCTCGCTATTTGCTGCTTTCTGTTTGCGTGTGACGACTCTGATGATGATTCATGATGATGATCCTTGCATTTTCCTCGCTGTCATTTCTCACGGCCTCGGGGGCCTCGCCCGCCCTTCCGGGTTAGTTGCCTTTTTCGACAGCCTATTAGTTTTTATTATTTGCTGCAATTAGTTTTTCCTACCCCCCACCACCCAACTGCTCAGCCCGCCTCGCTTATGACACTTTTCCCCGCATTTTTCAACAGAACGAGCGTCATCTGTTGCCGCCAGCAATGTTTTGTAGCACACAGTCGAAAAAAGGAGGAGAAGTGTCTTTAAAAATATTCCTAAAATATTTGATGATCCGAAAACTTATTTTATATTTTCTTAAATTTATTTTATACCTGCTTCAGATTTAAAACACTGTCAAGACAACCATAATTATATCTATGAATTTCAGTAACTTGTAAGGTATTTCTATGACTCTATTTTTCACAGTGTATTTGCTGAATCTGCTGTTTTTCTCGCCAGCATTGACGAGGCCCAAACAATGGCCGCTGGCTGGCTGGCTGGCTGGATGGCTGGTATCTATGATAAATTATGGACAAAAGTCAAAGTCATCAATCAGTGGGCCATGTTTTATTTGCCACCCGCGGCCATTTGCCATTTGTTTGGGGCCAAACCCAGTGGCATATGCAGCGGTCCAGGAAAGGGAGGATCGGGAGCGGTCTGGTCGCTCCAGAAAGGATTAAATATAAATCGCGGATGCGTAGATGACGACGACCCAGGTGTCGGTGGCCGGACGACAAGCATTTCGATTTAATTTTCATTAAAATTCAGGCATTAAGTATGCAAAGGGTAAACTGCGGCAGCGTCCTTCTGCCTTCCTTCTGCTTTCTACCCTTCCAAAAGCCCATTAAAATTCCTTAAAGACTTGGCCGCCGGGGCCAGGTGACTCCTCTTCATTCTCGAGTGCTTATTAAAATTGCAAAGGTCCAGGATTTGCGGACATTATGATGCGGTGCCTGCGAATTTATGCCACAGCGGTCGACATCAGCTGCGTTCCGAGTTCCCCGGCTGTTTAATTATGCATTTTTATCTGAAAGTCGTCGTCGGTCCAAAGGCCAAGTCGCTTTCGGTTGAAAGAGGTAAACCGCTGCCATTTTCCCACTTTGCCACTTGAGGTATGAAAACTGAAAATCAACGGCGTAAGCCAGGAATAACCGAAGTGGAGCGTGAATAAGCCGTGGCTTCTGCCTGAGTGACAGATTTCCAGCCGCCAACGCTGCGTATACCGAACCTCTGATTGGAAGCACGTGCTCGAGTATCGATTCACTCCCGCCAGAGTTCGGGTTTCGATGCCGCCTCATCGGGAGAACCCCACGGATCCCGACAATTGACAACCAAAGTTGCAATTAGGAGCGCTGGCAATCCTTTTCCCTTCAGCCTTCATTGCTCGTTTTTTAACCGCCACCGCAGCAGGATTACCGAATAAAAGGGAAACTTTTCCCGGGAAAACACCTTCACGCACTTGGACGGATGGAGGTTTTAGTTGTGCGGGTAAATGCCTTGGGGAAATTAACGGAAAAGGGAAATGTTTCAGGGAAACACTCGTTCCGATGGCTTTGTTTTGGCCACGCAGTTTACAGCACCCAGTTACATCATTTAAAAGCCTTTAAAGGAGTTCCTAAAAAACAAGGTGAAATATTTGGGCAAAGTGTTATTTGATTTCTTATGACCTTAAATTGCCTCATCTGTTTTTATAATGGAACGGATGAATTCTTTGTTCAGTGTTTGCTGAATTTCCACTTTGTTTCCACTGTGAATATCCTAGAAAGTATCTATTGACTAGTGCATCCGTCGGATGAGCTCACTGTCAAAATTACAACTAGCATTACAGCCGGCGATAAACGGCCTATAAATCACCCATTTGGCCGGCGATCGTGTCAATATTCGTCTCTCGTGCAACCAATTTTATTCCGTTGCACTCGACGGGCATAAATCACGACTCGTGATGGCTGAAGCGGCGGGAAATTGGGTGAGGATGCTCTTCCTGCTGCAACAAAATGTCCCGGCATTAAACACCAGGGATGGCATAATTTATGGCGGTGCCCGGATTCCATTCGCGCGGTGCCCGGAGACAGATGTGACATCGGCAGTGGCCATCGCGACATTAATGCGACCCTCCAGGCGCGAGCTTTCCGATGCTAATGGATTGCCATCGCGAAATTAAAGAGCAAGCTGCTCCATTCCAGCGTTCACTCCTTTCGAGAATTATTCAATTATTTCCTTGGTAAAATGGTAGAGTAAATAGCTGCGAGAGGGTACTTGCTCTAAAGTATTTTTACACCTCATTCCGTGTTGATCCCCTGAGTCGGTTGTAAGCCAACATTTTCGCTCGACCATTGTTTGGGCGAAAAAGTTCGCATGTGTCCCCGTGATGAAGTCCTTTTGCCGTATCCCTTCCAAACACATCCATGTTGATAATCCCTCTGCCCACTGCAGTCGAATAAAAAAAGCGAGGGGGTTCGAACGACGCATAAAAAGTTGCAGTTAAACTTTTCAGCATTTGTCAGAGTCGGAGGATTTGTTTGCCTTTGGGGCCGGCCAAAGCCAACATCCTGCCGGCATCCTGGGCCTGCTCAAAGGATATCTGCCCCTTCCCCTCCACTCCCCTTCACTCCCCTCCACTCCACTCCTCTCAGTTTGTTTGTTTATTTTCGCTCGTTCGTCCCACTATTTGTTTTCTTTCCAATTTTGTAATTTCAAACTTTTTCTATTGATTTCTTGGCACGCATGAACACCTTCAGCAGAAACGACAGCCAGCAAAGTTGCCAAGTTCCCTCGAGGAGGAGGATGGGGGTGGGGATTCAATTTAAGTTGCGGGGACTCCCCCATGATGACCATGCGTGGCAGCAGTGCACACAGGAAAAGAAAGGAGTCCATAAAAATGGCAAACGGGAAAAAGGAAAACGGGAAAGGGACGAGTGGGAAAAGTTTCCAATGCACTTAACACTCTGTTTCGAAGGAAGGAATAGAGGAAAAACTGTCAGTGGCATTGGCAACACATTTATTAATGTGTCAATCGGATTGAAGACTTTCCCAAGCCAACGGAAAACGATAAAGTTTTGAGACGGAAAAAGATCAGCGGTTGCGATTGCACGCTTTCTTCGGTCGGGAAATTATAAAGAATTATTTTGGCCAGCTCTTTGTTTCCCACAGGAAGTTCAAAAGAACTATTCAACTTTTGTCATTTACCATTTCACAATCAAACAATATAAGCACCGCTGTGGTTACTCCGTTTTATCAGATGCCTTCTACATTTTAATCAATTTTGTGGCAGAAATGAAGGCATTAGGAGCCACAAAACGATTACATGACCCGTTCCCGAATCGCAGGGACGAAACCCAATCCCCCGGCACTTTGCAGGCCGCAAAGGAATTGTAATTATTCGAATGGTTACTCGTCGCTTGCCTAATGACTATTAGCCAAATGAAAACATTGCGTGCCGGCGACATTTTATTCGAGTGCACCACTGCCAGCGGGTTCCGAAAAGCCGCCCAGAGGTTTATTTGCTATATTTCATGCCTGCCTGCACTTATCTCCGATTGTCCATCGTTCGGTGGTGCTGGTGGTGGTTGGAGTGGTGGTTATGGTGGTGCTGGCGGTAGCGAAACCGCCGACTGACTCCGGCAAATGTAATTTGCTTGGACGGCGCTTCGATTCCACTTTATGTTCTAATTACTTGCACAACACAAAAACGCCACTTCAATTTGAATTAGAATGAGTGGGCGGGGTGGGGGCGGTTCCACCCCACCCCCCCTTCGATTCCGATTTCCTCCCATTCTGGTTAAACCCTTATCCCGGCCACAGTTGGCGCCACAACTTTTAATTACAGCAGCGCCAAATTGCAGATGCACTGCCGCGGTCCCTGGGCTCCACTTTCAATTCCGTTCCCCATTCCGATTGCTATATAGCTTTTGCTATAGCTATGGCTATTCCTATTCCTGTTCCAAATCCCCTAACCGAAACCCCAGAGCAATGGCCGTGGCAATGGCAAATCCAAAAAGCATATTAATTGCGCACTGCGTAGGCGTCGCCTCTAATGGTCTATAATCGATTTAAGCACGGGCATTATGTGGGCTAGGGTCTAAATTGCAATTTCGTGTATGACAAATGGGTTTTTGGCTTTCTGAAAATACACTTGAAATAATAAAGGCTAAGCTAAAAATAAAGAGGGATTATAATCATAATTTGTTGTATTATTCTTATATCCTTTAGTTATACATTTTGCTTGTATTCTAATTTGTATTTTTTTCCTTTTAAAAACCCCGAATTTTATCAATATATTTTCCGCAGTGTTTTAACTGAGTTTGCAAAATAGGCTGGTCCTGGCCAATGAAATTTAAATCAAGTTGGTTTAGCAGCTATTTTTGCATGCCAGCTATACAAAGGAAAACCGATCGATATTTGGCCATTCATCCAGGATACAAGTAGTATCTCCTCTGCGAATCTTGGATTATTTGGGGTTATTCCTCACGAAGCTCCCTTCCAATTAGAAGCTGTGGCGCGTGGCAATTGACCATCAAAATCAGAGTCAGTCCATCGGAGACAGTGGCCCCAATCTGCATGACCACAAGTGTTTGGGTGGCTGGGTGGTTGAGTGGGTGCTTCGGGTGGTTCGATCTGATGCATGAAGTGAACCACCCAGGGCTCGTTATTGTTGCCGCTGGCTTCGCCGTCAATTGCAGCTGCTGGTGGTGGCTGCACCACAAAATTCAACGCAATTTGTAAAATGAAATCGATTCAATTGATTGTTGACTTCGACAAACACACATCCCTGGATTGTGTGTGTGTGTGGCCCGCACACAGGACATCATCCTGCAGTTGTGGCAGGGTGGCACGGTGGCTGGGGTGGCAGATGAGGCAAGGTGGCAAAATGGAAAGGTGGCAAGGTGGCTGGGTGCCACGAAGGAAGGCAGCGAGTGCCTGGCGACGATGGTGACAGGTGTCTGGAGGGTGGACGTGTTCATATCCTTGTCGTCCTGCCCGCCACACACTCACACCCACACACCACACACACACAAACACACACCCACTAGTGTGTGTGTGTGTGTGCACTGCACTTTGCTTGATTAAATTTCAATATTTACTAAAATGTCGCCGAACTCTTCCTGACAGCTCTGTAAATTTCATAACCGGAATCGACATAAAATATGGTCAACTGGGTGTAAATATAAGCTTGACAAGCGCATAAGTTGACTGAAATGGCCCGCTTTTTTCCACCCATGCAGCCAGCGCCTTTGTCGCTGGTAATTTGTTACAGTTTGTCATGTGATTACAGCAACAAATGGGTTATGACCATCTAGATTTTATGGCCAACTGATATGCGGCCTTTGTGAGGGCATCAGATGGCAAAAGCAATTACTCAGCGGACCGAAAGACGGGATTAACGCTCTGCTTTCGCCAACCAGAGTGATTCATTTGCATTCATATTTCCGAAATATTGGCACAACGAAGGAATATTTCGCTGATTGATAAATAACTCGCATTAAAAGTGCTTTCCGAATAAAATATTGGTTTTTTTTAGGTGTAGGATTGAGTTTCAGTTGCTTTTACCTTCACAATGACTCACGTTCATCATTCTGGATAACAAATATATCTCAAAAACAACGAAGTACAATAGCAAAAAAAGATAAATGGATTTCATTATTAACAAATTTAAAGCCCTAAAACACCTGGATGATGAGGAGTGAGTTGATCAGATTTCTCTTTAAATTTAATACCATTATTTTTTTAACAGAAGTGAGATAAAATCTGAGTGTCTGGAAGACAAGAAACAGTGCAAGACTTTATCATCCAATCTGGATAACCTGTTTGATAAACTGTATATAAGTGAAGGAAATTCTTTGATTGAAGACATAGGAATTGAGCAATCGAAGCCGGAAACCACGGATTGTAACAACTACCCTCATAGGAATTACTTCAACAAGAGTCCCACGGATTTTCCCTGGAAAAAAGCCTCGGAGAAAGGTGAAGTGAAAGGGCTTGACTTCGATATAAACTATTCGAATGTTTTCGAGGATGTAAGCCAGTTGGCTGAGGTGGAAAAGCAATTGCAATTGCTATACAGACCCTTCACCTGCTTAATGGATGTCAGTTGCCGATTCAACATGTACGAGTTGTGCCTGCTGATTTCCGATTCCCGATACGAACCTGGTAGCCATCCCTCGGTGACCGTAAAGGTGACCCATCCCAGTGCCCAGGTGAAGATCTATGGAGGTGGCAAGATTGTGGCCACTGCTTTGACCGCCAACTCAGCCAGGAATGCTGTGTTCAAGGTGGTGAGGATCCTGCAGGGTCTGGACTACAAGGCGGACATGAAGAACTACAGCAAGAGCATCGTGAACGCCTCCTTTCAGATGCCATTCAAGCTGGACTTGGACCTGATGATCCGCTGCCATTCGGAGGAGGTGACTTACAACAGGAATAAGCGACCCTTTATCACCTTCATAACCGAAGGAGCGGAGGCCAGATTCGCAGTTTTTCCCACGGGATTCGTGCTGGTCCTTCACTCCACGAGTCACACTGAAACTAGAAGAGCTATTGCTGAATTCCTGCCGATCCTGGCCAGATTCAACAATGGATACCCCACCAAAGCGGAGGAGGAGGGAGTTGTCGTGGGCGATTTTACCTACAAGCTGCTGTGGGAAAAGCGATTGGAGGAGGACAAGGATGGTCTGCTGCTCTACTCCTAAGTTTGTATTACATTTAAATATATACAATTTTTAATGCCTGGTTAGTCATGATTTATTTGAAATCAGAGCTCAGATATCTTGTTATCGCTCTGTTTTCTGCCTCTGGATGCTGCGAACATTTGTCATAAAGCAAAGTTCTGCACGTGCCCTGTTTACACTCGCCGGCAAGTTGGGCAACTTGTTTAAATACGTGATTTATTCGCCCGCCAGCTGCTGAGCGACCACCGAACAACCAGTGACACTCCACTCCGGCCAACCAACCGCCGGCACTCCTCGGATCGTACATATATATAGTGTATATAACGTATATAGGAGAGCCTAGGCCCGGGGTCAAAGTTTCGCCAAACAGTCGCAAAGCAGAAACAAAAACAAATGACCGAAGAAGTTGCAACTGCGAACTGCAACAGGCGCATACATAAATAACGAAACATTCTCGCACACTTGCCGCAACTTTCCCGGGAAAATGTCACATTATGCGGAGCAAGTGGCCGCCTTAAACACGTTTCCGACGTGCCACAGCACCTTTCCAAGTGCCCCGCACTTTTCGCCGCAACTTTTTCGGGGAAAATATTACAGGAAGACGTACATTTGGTATTTACGTAATTACTACAGGTGGAGTGGCAGGAAAGGCAGGGAAACTTTAAGGAAGAAGATGAAAACAGATTTTTGACCAGTTTTAGATTTTTCAAATACAAGTAACTTATTTATTGTTACTATTAAAACTTCAATCTAAAACAGTCTTTACAAGAAGTTAAGCAATCATAAGATCTCTTGCTCCTTCATAAATATTTAAAGCGTTTCAATTTATTGGCAAGCAATTTTATTTTACGAAAGGTTTTCATTGTTGATTATTTGCAAGTCTACAGGCGAACTTTGTTCATTAAATGTGCACATATCTTGCATTATCGGCTTGTAGCAATCTTCGGCAACCACAACAAGTGCAAAAAGTTATCACATGTACATAAGAAACTCTAATATGCCGGAGGATATCGAAATTGGACAAAAAGAAATTTCAATGGAGGAGCAAAATAATACGCAATTTATCTATTTTCGGTTGAGGTAGGCAAACTTCGGTGCCCTGAAGCGCTCTTTGGCCGAAAAATATGATGGAAAAACCAGCGGAGGCGGAGGTGGGGAAAACTACCGATACGATGATGTGGTGGCAATGGATTCGGGCCAGGGATTCCGGGGAATCCGATTAAAAAGTTGAACCATCAAAGTTTAAGAAACGGCAGGGCGGACTGTGGATTATGAATTATGCATTCTTGCCCAGGGACTTTTTGCTTCAAAGCTGAAATTATCTACTAACGAAAAAGGGTTGTGGCTGGCTTTGAAGATTAGACAAGTTCTCCGGGAGTCCCGGTAACCGTTTTCGCATTTATAAGTGGGCATAAACTGCATAAGGGGAGCAACCTTATTGAATTCGGAATGAAAACAGGACGGGGAGAACCCAAGGACTTAAAAACAGTGTGAACTGTCACCGGAACTCCGGCCATTCGCATTTTGTGTCTGCGGTTAACCGCAAAGATTTTACACTCGAAAAGGTGTCGCAAATGGACTTTTGCAATTTTAATAACTACTCAAAGTGGCAAACTGGTTCGTTAACTATCCGCACACACACGTTACAGGTCCTGCAGGACCTGCTGGCAGCTCCGAAGGACTTTTTGCATATTTAACCAACTTGAATTTAAATGAAAATTAATCCGGCTGACCGGGGCCGCAAATGTGTTTGCTTTGAAAAATGAAACTGCAAACGAATAATTGCATTTGGAGTTTCCTCCTCCGCACACGTAAATGTTTCATTTGCCAGGAAATCGAGGGATTGGTTTACCTTTTGTAAACCGACCGAAACGCTTTTCAATTAATAAATAAAACCGAAGTTCTGTGTGCACTTCTGCCATTAAAGTCGGTCGGTTTCTAAGAATCTTTACAACTGTTTAGGAACACACATTTCAAAATATCCGTGCCCCTTGTCAATGAAATGCGTATTTCTTGGAATCGGCGGGGGTGGAAATACATAAATCTAAAATTCCAGGCGCCAATAAATTTTCATTTTGATAAACCCCCGTAAGCCTTTTCATGGCCAAAAACAAACTTCTGTGATTTATGAAGTTCTCGGCTACTGCTCGACTCCTTGGGCAATAAAACACAGAGCCCATCACTGCCATCTATGGACACGATACAAAACTTTTGCCGCTGTTTGGCCTCCTCATAAGTATTCCGATTTTAAAGACTCTATTCGCCGCGAAAAACAAGAGGGAAAAGTAAATATGAATCGCTAATCTTTATGAGGCGAACGAGTGTTTTTCTGGCCATAAAAAGCGAAAAGTTTTCTCGCAAATAAACCAAAGTGTCGATGCATATTATTTTTTTAGTGTCACGCGAAAAAATCTGGCGATAAAAACTGTTCATCTGTTAATACAATTTTCATAAAAGTCAACGATTTAAATTACAATAACATGGCAATCGCTGGCCATCCGGTCGGTCACAGCTTGTCCTGATGTAAATCCATAAACAAAATGAGACATGTTCGCCCCCTAATGTTGCTGATTTTCGCCTGCTGCGAGGGTTTTATCCCTATATCCGGATAACGAATAACGATGGGGGACATGTCATCATGCCCGACATTTGCGACAGCTGGCGATCAAAGTCAAATTAAATTGGAACAACTTTTCGACGTCACATATTGCGTCCCATAGCAAAAGGGAATTGGCTAGTGCCGATTATGGATTTTTGCCTGGGACGTGACGGAAAAAATAGAGGGAATAGCACATCAAAAAGCGCCAAAAAAAAAATGACACCACTTTTTGTGACAATTTAGTTAATGGAAAGCCCAGGCGAATTCTAATCCCCTAATTATATCGAAATATATTCACAAACGCATCTAATTTGCATACACATTAATCGATTGACTTTGCGCATTATACATTTATTAATGTGTTAATTAGCTCAATTATTAGAGTGGCCACACTGCGTATGCGCGATATCCAGGCCCATTGTTTATGACTCCACAATTCAGTTGTTTAGAGAATGTCGACCGCTGACTACAACCTGAAAAGGGATATTTATATAAAGTTTATCAAGTGTGCCACTTTGAGTGTTTATGGAATCTGTTGTTTTCTCGATTTGGGCTCATTTCGATATGTTAAAAGAACTAAAAGGCTGAGGAAACACCACACCTGCTGGCAATGGATTGTTTTCGCTATGTGTATGAAGGGTGCTTTGATTTTCATGGAGATTCCCTATGTTTTGATCGGCTATAGCCTCTTCTACTTCTTCATTGTCGGAGATTCGAGCAACTTGACTGAGAACACCACGTATTACTGGGTGCATTTGGTGTCACAGATGGCGATGTCCACTATTTCAACACTGCGGTTGTTGGTATTAACCCACAATTCATTCTTCAGTGACTTCTTTATATCCATTGTAAATAGAGTCCTTCATATGCATCGAATAGTAAGGAAATGCTTCGGTGACAAACACTTTTCTTCGGATGAATGGCTGGTTATTATGTTCCTAATTCAAGTGATATTAACTCTGCATCATATTGTGTCGCAATATAGACCGCACGATAAAGTTTTGATTAGTGTGAGATATCACACTGTTAACGTGATTCTCTTTGAGTTATTCTATTGCTCCTACTTCCTATATCAGTTGCTAGTTTTAAGCTGGTTGAGAAGTTTAAATGCTTTTCTGGAATCCTACTTGGATCTAGTAAGCTTCCGTGGATTTCCAAGTTCCTTATATGCACGAAAACTAATAATAGCATTGGATATATACACTCGGATAGGAGATATCCATTTGCAAGTATCCAGTGCTTGGTTAAAAGTTTCCTCCATGCTGTTCATCAGTATTTATTACACCGCCCATGAAAGCACATACACCTTGTATTGTTTGTTTGCCATGAGTGAAAAATCACTCATTGATCGAATTTACCTGGTAATCCTTGAAAAACTGGGTACCTTCCTTTATCCCCTTGTTGGAATTTTACTAATTGGCACAGCCAGCGATCGATTAAAGCACCTGGAGGAGCAGCTCTGCGAAAGGATCTTCCTTATCGAACTGCTTCATGCGCCGGAGGATCTTCCCATTCTGCAACAGTTCGCCAGACTAATAAGCTGCAAGGTTAGTTGGTGATGTATCCAATAAAATGGTTATATAGTAATATGTTTACTTGCAGCACCAAAGCTTCCTGCTGCAGAAGCACTCCCATCCCATTCGGAATTTCATTTGGAACAGGGGATCCATTTGCGATCGAGATTTGGTCTTCGAAATCTTTGTTTACCTCATTATAAATGCCACCACGTTTCTTCAGTTTCTGATAAGTGACAATAATAGCTTTTGTGAAGAAGGAATTTAAAGAAACAAAATAAAAAAAGTATTAAAAATTTTATGTTTATTAGAAAATGTTTTCTCTAATTATTTTTGACACTTAAATTTAGGAATTTTCATTCAGCTGATTGATTTGTCTTAATCAGCTTGAAGCCAAGAAAAGTTCATAGTCACGATGCAATTAAATATCGTAGCTGATGAATAGGTAAATAGAGTGCACATTAAGGTAAGACCAATCAGTTGAAATGAGGTCCTTGGAGTGTTTTACACGACGTTTTCTGGAGACAGTATTCTGGCTAACTGGCTTGTTGCCTTTGCCACCAAACTCCCAACTGGGTTGGATGCTTTCATCCTTGGCAATTCGATGCTGTTGGATTGTGTACTTTGTGTATTTGGTGAAAAGGGCCTTCAGCTTTACAATCGCAGCGATGGAAAGTGTGAGCAATGTGGTGGGCACCATGTTGTTCGTGGGAAGTACGTTGCTGGGATTCCTGCTCCTGCTGGAAAGTGTCCTGAAACAGAGGACCCACAGCCAGTTGGAGGACCTGCGTTTCCAGTCGGAGTTGCAGCTACAGAGACTCGGAATGTTTGGCAGAGGACGCCAGGCGGGATACCTCTTGCCTTTGATAGCTGTTCAATTCACCTGTGATCTCGTGCGGTTTTTAATCAACTCGAGAGAATTAGTGTCTCCGGTTTTTACAATAACTTTGCCAGTGCTCTGGCTCCTTCGATTCCGATATGTACAACTGGTGCAGCATGTCATGGACTTAAATCAGCGATCTCTCCAGCTAAGAAGATCCCTGTTGTCCTTAGCTTCGGGAAATGATTTGTGGCAACCATACGGAGTCCACGAGTGTCGTCAACTGCAGACCCTTCGCTCCACCTACGAGAGGATCTTCGAGTGCTACGAGATGTTCAGCGACTGCTACGGATGGGGCATCCTGGGGCTCTACCTGCTCTCCAGCTTCCAGTTCGTGAGCAACGCCTACTGGATGATCACGGGACTCCTCGATGGCCGAAGCATGAGTGCCTTGGTCTTCAACGCAGCCACGGGAATCGACTTTGGCTCTCCCGTTGCTACTTTATTCTGGCACGGAGATTCCGGAGCTGAAAATGTAGGTAGCACATAGAATAGTTAGAAAATCATCTCATCATTGAACCACATTTATTTCCCGCAACTATAAAAACGACATGTAAATCAGCAGACAATCAATCAACACTAAGCGAAGTGCTCTATTCACAATTTCAGCAAATCATTGCTGTTTAACAATGACACTGATGGATTTGCATTTTGTCAATTGAATCCACTAAACCTTCACCAAATCAATCCCCCTTCAGTAATCATGTTTCCACCGACCAGAATACAAGGACTCTCGCGAGTAGTTCTCAAGTTGTTCCACCTAATTTTAGTGGGATTTTCTTTGAGGTCCAGTAGATTGTCGCGTTTGATCCTGTGGCTTCGGTTTCTGTTTTGGCTGAGTTGGTTCATTGCCATTTGGACCCAGAGTCTGATTTTTGCCCAGCAAATTGAATGCCATCTGGACTGCATTCTGCGCCACACGCTCACATTTTTCCAGACAGTTTCGCATGCTTTCATTGTGGTCGACACTTTCCTCCGGGGATTCAAAGTGGAGGGAAACCAGATGGAGGAAGTGGTGGTGTGCCAGGCCGCTGATCCTTGGATGGCCTCCACTGTCCTGGCCATGCTGCTGCCCATCTTGGGAGTTGAGTACCTGGTGTGTTCGAATGCACCTGAATACGAGTATCGGGTGAGGATTTACCACCTAAAAACCCTGCCGAGTTTCCTGGCCCTGCAGATGCAGATCATCTCCTTCATCCTGGAGGTCATGGAGCTAAACATCAGGGTTCGCCAGGCCAAGCAGCAGCTTGTGATCCTGGCCAGGGAGCTATCCTGCCGGTGGCCACAGTCCAAACAGAGGTCGGACCACCTGGACAAGCAGATCTACCGAATACAAGCCCTGAAACTGAGATACAATGAACTCCATCAACTGTTCGATAAGCTGAATTCCGGTTTTGGGGGCAGCCTTCTGACCATCATCATGGTCTTCTTTGCCCTCTTTGTGTGCAACTCATACTGGCTTTTTGTGGATGTTCGAACGAGTCCCCTGAGAGTCTATGCCATCCTCCTTAACTTGGGCTTCATCTTCAATGTGGCCCTTCAGATGTCAGCTGTTTGCTGGCACTGTCAACAGAGCCACAATCTAGTGAGGAACTAAGGGGTTTTAAATAGCCATTAAGTAAATCTAAACTGCTTTTTCAGGGTCGCCAGATCGGTTGCCTCATTTCGAAGTTGGTAAAACCCCAAGGAAGCAAGAGGTACAATGATTTGGTGAGCGAGTTTTCCCTGCAAACACTTCACCAAAGATTCGAGGTCACCGCCAAGGATTTCTTCAGTCTCAATCTGCATCTGCTCAGCAGTGTAAGTACTTTCAAATTAAATATCATCAGTAAAATAATTTCAGAAAACACTTTGCAGATGTTTGCAGCTGTGGTCACTTACTTGGTCATCCTCATACAATTCATGTTTGCTGAGAGAAACTCTAGACATGATTCTGGTTGATAAATTAATTTTAATTTTAAAGGATGCCTTACATTTCTTTTAAAGTCCCCAAACCCAAACTAACCCCTTTTTCTTAAGGAAATGCGAACTTTTCTAACCACTTCAATCAATAATTAATGGTTATAAAATGTAAGTTTCACATCTTTGTTTCGCCAGTGGATCTGGGGTAATAAAACTATTTAAATGTTCAATGATTTAATTATGAAACACACATCCTCTCGGAACCAGACAAACTAAGATGCTCTCTATCTTTGTCACAGCTCCTATAAGTGTATAACCCTAATTATTTATGCCGCCCACGAATTGGGAATGTGTTGAGCTTCGGGTTGGTTGGGTTGGTCTCGGGGTTTTGGGGGTTTGAGGGTTTGGGGGCTTGGGCTGAAAGTTAGATTGCACAAAGTTTTATCTCCGTTTTTCTTAAGCGCATTTTACAAGGCGAAAAGGATGGGAAAATGGGATGGGGAAAAGGAGGCGGTAGCAAAACTACTTCACGCATATTAAACTGACATTTCACAAGCAGAAAACTTTTTCTAATATGCAAATTCATGGCGAATAGCAGGCAGTGGGATGAAACAGCCGCACATCCTTGAATTAACACGTGCGAGTTCGCATTAATTTGTGTAAACTGGTGTTGGAACTGCTCGGGGTTACTCGGCGGATATGGGGCTTTGCCCAGGGATCCAAGGATCCCAGGATCGGCATGTGTTCGAGGAGCAGTTTTTGTCGTTAGCTATGCAAATGCCAAGCCATGTAAATATTATTTACCGCACTGGCAGATGCTCAAGATGTAACTGTGCCGCCACTTCTGGCCGAAATTAGCATATAACAACTGTGCCAGTCGCTTATAAATATTTATGAGCCGCCTGGATTAGCACTACTTTCTATGTACTCTCCTGGCTGAGATACTAAAACGGGGCTTGTAAATGCAGTTGGCCAGATCTAATAACGAAGGGGGAGGGGTACTGGAAGTACTGTAGAATATTTAAGTCGCTTACCTGAATTAATTTACACGCCTCTTCAGATCATTTTTATACCCTTGAAGAGCAAAGGGAATTATAATTTTAGTCAGAAGTTTGCAACGCAGTTTTCGAATAGATGGTTGGGCTTCTCTTTTTCAAAACTATACTTTCTTGCCTAAACAACAGACAAATTACCATTGAAAAATGTTTGGTTGTGCATAAAATTACGTAAAATTATTAAAACAAAACCCAGTTTTTTTGCAATATCTGAGGAAGTAATCTTTCAAATGTGGAATGGCATACATCGTTAAATTCGTAATAAAATTTCCTATCCGATGGCATTCATACCTAAAAATGTTGTGATTTGGCCATTTTTCGCAAATAATGATGATGTTACCCATTACCAAAAATGCGAAAAATAGGCAAAAAATCATTTGTTTTTGTATTGTTTAAAAAGTGATAGTGGTCATTATCTTTGGTCGTAGGGTGATTGTATGGTTTCGCTTTAAGTCACTTTTTGGCCTTATTACAACCGAAAAACCACTACAAATAGAGTGGTTTCTACAAATATTGTCAACTAACTCCATATATGTTTTTCCATGTATGTTTTCATCAACTAACTAAAGGATAAGTGGAATTTATTTAATGTTATTAATAATTGTATTCAGTTTATGGCAAATACTCAAGTACATTGTAGTCACTTGGTCCCTGCGATTCAGTAATGGAGCCTAATGCTTTACGAGTATGTTCGAGGCACTCTGGAACAATTAAAATCTTATAAACTACTTTGCAACTCAGCCCTAAGCGCTTACGCAATTGCCATTTGAGTTTTCGGGGGTTCGGGGTGTTGAAAGGAGGCTAATTGCTTTTTAGTGAATTATTAGCCATTCCAACTTTTTCGACTAATAGAAACTTGCATGCATGAATATTTTATCCACTTTACGAACGGCTCAACTTTTTTGATGAATTCCCAATTTTGAAGGAGGCTTTGTCTTCGTTTTTCGGCCAGAGTGGGGGAACTTTTTAAATATTCATAAAATTTGAACAGACAGAACTTTCGAAATTAAATTAGTCAAATGAACAAAAGTTCATTTACACTCCACGTACGAGAGTCGGATGTCCATACTTACGGAATTCACTGTGTGCGGCAGAGCCGAGCCCCAAAAGTTGGAATAAATTACTAATTAATGCGGGCGTACCCCATTTATAGGGTCATGTGTGCCCCATTCGAGCCACATCCCATAAGTCAGGCCTCCGTTTTATAGTTGGCAATCTATTGCGATTTGCAGGCTTCCTGGAAAATATGGTTTTTCCCCCTTTTGCATCGGACGCAGTGTGTGAAGGCGAAATTGAAGTTTTATGCTAATTCCAGCCTTCCATCTCCCTCATCCCTCGCTTTGCCAGTGTTCCCGTCTCCCTCACTCTTCGGACGGAGCACAGGACCTTATCTAGTTGTCGAGTCCTGTCAACACAAGGCATTACAAGGCAATTACGAATTTGTTTATGGCTCGGAGTCGTCTCCTCGTTTCGCCACTTGTGAACAACACTCGAAGATCCATCTTTGCAAAGGCAAAAGGTAGAGCAGGAAAACGGACAGCCAGGAAAAAATAAACCGAAATCAGATTCAATTTGAAAGGAAATTCTGGTTTTCAGCTTGCAATTGCCTATGGCAAGCATCATTAGAAAAGCCAATAAAAATCTCAGCTTGTTTCTCTTTGAATTTTTAAAAGAAAAAAAAAGCTTAAACACTTTAAAAAAGATTTGTGTAATTTTTCGGGAGTTAATGATTCCCTATTTGTCACACTAATTTCAAAGTTCCGAGGCAATCCAGAATTTATGTCCCACATGCAATCATTTCCCAGCTTAATGTTCTTTTCAAGTTCCATTTCCCAGATAAAGAATTTAATCAAGAACCAGTGGCGTTTGTTCGGGGCAACATGCACGGATAAATGTAGTACACATGGCCCATAAGTCAAGCCTAATAAAATTCCACTCTGCCAAATTCGAACGACAAAAGTAATTTCCAAACTCTGGCAGGACCTCAAGGAGAAGGCGGCGGCGGCGAGTGGGGTGAAAAAGTGCGTCACTTAAAACTTTTGCACTCACTTGACCAGAAACTTTTATTTTCTGTTAGCAAATTTCCCACGGGTAAACCGAAGAAGTAACAAAATGTATATGTAGCCAGCAGCCGGGCGTCTTGGCGAGCCAAACTTTTTCGTGTCCACAAATTGAAAATATTCCAGAGTCATATTTAATTTTGGCAGCCCTCGGACCGCCGCCGCACAAAATCTCAGAGGTAATCAACGAGGGTTAGAGGGTTAAAGGGATACATGCACCTAATTGCAGGACTCGCTGGAGGACCGGGAACCGATCCGGCTTAAATTTCAAGCTTGTTGACTCGTCACGGAGCAGTAAAAATGGAAAAGTCTACGGACAAAGGAGCATAATGAGCACTGCGCCGGGGTCGCGTGGAAAAAGGAGGAAAAACTAAATAAATAATTCAGTATAAAATGTCAGGAGCACTGGGAGCGTTGGCCAGGACAACGAAGATGTCACGGGAAGTCCTCCCCGTCGTCGTTGTCGTTGTCGTCGTCGTCGCCTCTCAGATGCATTCAAGGAAGCAATTGTATTGTCTGACTGCTGTTTTCCACTTTAGTTTGCCACGCCCCAATGCGAGGCGGCACCCCACCACCCACTCTGAACCACCCAGCACCTTCAACCTTCAACCGCCCACTGGTAACTTGTTGACGTTGATAGTCGTACGTGCCGAAGGTGAATGGCATCTGTGGACGCGAAATTGAATTCGTGCCTGGCAGTTGCCTTTTCCCGCACAACTGGATGGAGTCGCACTGGGAAACACTGGGATACAGGGATACAGGGAGCGGGGGAATATGGGGATCCCAGTCGACCAGGATGTGTCAGGTGGCTTTACCTGCTGACTTCAATATTTTGTCGCATTACGTTGACAATTTAGATGTTTGTCTCGCGCATTCTCGCAGGATTCAATTTGGAGCAAATGCAGCCCGTCAGCCAGCCGGGGAAATCTGCAAAGTTAACAGTAAGCCGGTAAGAGAAAATAGATCTGGGAATGGCTCCCTCACTCCAAACTCCACACTCCACATGGAAAATGGCAATGGCTTCGACTGCTTACATAAAAATCTGTCGGCTGAGTCCTGGCCCAGTCATTCATTAGAGTTGTAATGTCCCTTCAAGCCGAGCAAATCTTCTCCTCAATAGGGATATAACGATTTTATCGGTTGACTTGACAAAGCAATTTCTTTATTACTCTATAGGAGGTTGCTTACCCACTTAAAAATATTATAAAGAACAAGATTAAACTATTAAATCATTATCTGTATGCGGAACAATCCCCTTTACATTTTATTTGAATTTCATTATCGTATTATTTTCAAAGGATATTAAGGTCACTTGACCTGGGACACTCGCTATCTTGATTCCAATTTCAGTTCTCACCTTGCAAATACCCTTTCTAACCCACAAGCATTGCAAGAAAATTGCAACGATTTTTTGTTTTCGCTCTAAAAATGTCACTTTCCGGGAGCGAGGGTCCTTCGGTCCGCCAGCGTTAACCCACCACGCCCGAGATTGTAATGTGACTGTCGCTGGCAGGCAACCACCACCCACCACCCACCCACCATTACCACCCACAAATAACCACCCAGCGAAGCACCCGAGCTGGCATTTCATTGTTGTGCTTTTCTTTCCCATTTTATTTATATAATGTGTCTCGAATGTGTGTCTGCGGGTGTGTGGGAGTTTTTCTATCAAAGCGCAGGAAACACGTGCGGGTAAAACATTTTTCAAGCTTTTAGCGCTGCATACAAATCAACCCCGAAAAACAAAAACAGCAAGAAAAAAAGCGAATCCCATTCACAATAATTTGTTGAACTTCATAAGAGCCAGCGCTTTGGGTTAGTCGGATGAGGACCGAGGACTCTCCTCGATGCGATGGGTGGTTTCGGTGGTTCAGCCAGCTGTTGCATTATGTAAAACCCCCGGCGTAATAGATCTGGGAATGTGGGAAAATCGTAGACTCCAAATGCCAGGCGAACAGCAGACGGGAAAAGTCGAAAAACACACCCGCTTACTCACTTACTGACTGACTGACTGACGGCATCTGAAATGGGTAGTAGTTCCTCCTCGCCTTTTTTTATGGGGCTAATTGGGTTTTATATAATTTAAGGCACTTACTTATCAAACTTCATTTCCGTTGTCTTGACGCTGAGAGTTGCATACATGCGAGTGTGCCCATTAAAATGCCACAAATGCAAATTAATTTAATTGAATCCAATTTGGCATTCGCATTATCTTTTTCATTGTTCCCTTAATTCCACAATTGCCTGGGAGACAGAGAAAGTGTGCTGGAGCATTTGTGGGAGGAGTGGGATTAACCACACAGTGGAAACTATTTTGTAATCCGGATTTATAAATTTATGCAAATGTGCGGTCCTAAAACGAATAAACCTTAATCCGAGACTTTTAAGCTTATTATAATGCAGTGGTTCCGGCGAGACTTCCTTTTAATAAGAAAAAAATGTGGAATGCTATGATTGCTGGTCAATGAAAAAAATTAAAAGTAACTCCCATCAAGATTAATTAAAATAATAAAAAACCAAAAGTAACATGGGTTTATCACCAGTACTGTTATTAACAGAATTATAGCAAGAGGGGAAACTTTTGGCATGCACTGTAATGCAACTAAGAAGAAGAGTTATTACAGCTAAAGCTAGAGGCCATAGAAATGAAACATTTGAATAGAATAAAAAAGAAGGTTAATTGCTTGACTAAGTATAAAATAAATTTCAGACCACATATAATTTTGTTTAATATTTTAAAACCATACCAAACTGTTGCTTCCATTGGCAATCCCTCCTGTTAAGTCCTTTCAGAACCCACCACTCTGTTAGTTAACATCCGAATAACAGTGAAAGAGCGTGCGTCTGCGCAGTGGGCTCCCCAGTCACGAGTGGTGGGTTGGAGCTGCCGAACGGGAAGAGCGAGTGGCGCTCTCATTGGCGGCGGAGCAGATACCGCTCGGGCACTCGCTGCTGCCGGCGGGACCGCCGCTGCCGCCGCCTCTGCCGCCGCTTCTGGCGATGAGCGGACCTCAGTCTGCCTGCTGCACTCGAATCGCGTGGTGGACGCCACGTCGTCGTCGTTCGGTTCTCGGTTTTCGCCGGCTGCCCCAAGTCACGAGTTTACGAGCTTACGAGCTTAGTGGGTGGCCATCTCCCCAGCGCACCGCCCCCCGCCTCCCGAAAAAAGAGCCTATGCAAATGTGTGCATACATGCTGCAACATAAATTAAATCGAATTAAATCCACACAAGATTCAAACTAAAGTCAAAATATTACAATAATTGGGCTGGCGAATGTGTGTTTGTATGTGTGTGTGTCATCTGTTGTTCAACTGAACCCGTGTGTGTGTGTGTAAATCCAATTTCCGCTTTCATCGGTTTTTCCGGCCTTTCCTCCGCCGCCCGGAATTTTAATTACGCCGATTTTTCAAGTTCAGTTGCCGAAGCTCTGGAAATAAATCAGCTAAAGGTAAGGCCCAAATCGCTTAATAAGATTTTCCCTCTGTTCGCAACACAATTCCTGGAAAATGTCCTGCTCTCCACGACAACTAAAAGCGTAATTAAATTATACCAGATGAGTTCATAAATATCCCAATTTATTGCCTGCTCTCGGGGAAGCGAAACATATTTCATGCGGCCCATAAGGCAGACATTTAAAGTTAAAGCTCGCCGTCGACTTTCGCTTGGCACATCCTGCGGATTTTAAAGTCGAACGCAATTTTAAATTTATTGCACAAATGCCCCGGCCTGCACACGTATGGAGAAGAGCAGAGTGCCATTGGATATGCGCATCATAAACAACGTCCAGCACCGGAACAGACAGCATATTAAAAATGTGACTATAACCTTGGCTTCCAAACGAGCGGTGGGCGGGTTGGGTGATTCGGTGTTGGGTGTTGGGTGTTGTGTGTCGGTTGTTGGTTGTTGGTTGCTGGCTGTCGAGGAGCACGGCATCCATTCCGCCTTCCGGTTCCGCTCCCGAGTCCTGGAAACCGCACCAAGGCCACAGCAACCACGGCCAGTGCAATATCAACAGCCAGTGGTGCCCGAAATCGATGCCAGAAAGGATCTGAGTTGGGAGTTCCGTTTAAAGCTGAGGTGATGATATTGCGGCGAGGGAATTCCATTTCTGGTTTAAGAGGTCAGGAATGCATTTCACTTGTTTCTGATATTTCCCATTTAGAAGGACCTTATTCAAGCCATATTAGCATCAGAATTTTCATTTATATTAACATAACTCAGTATAGTTTCTCTTGACAACATTTGTTATATTATCTACAATTTAATTAGTGCATCGAATCTTTCGAAATAAATAGGATATGTTAATAGCTATAGAGCTCTCGAATTTTATATAGATATTATGACTTAACCAATTGCATAGTGAAAAGAGGAGAGTAGAGTGCAGCACTGACGGGTAACATCCGTCTTGGCGTTTTGCTGTGTGCCCTCCTCCCGCTGCTGTTTATTATTTGCTGTTTTTACTGTACACATGACAATAACGCCGGCGGCTGCTCCTGCACCTCCTTTATCCCCGGAACGTGTTGCATCCTCGAAGGAGGCACAACCGAACCTCTGGCCCAAGCCCATTGAATCCTGAATCCTTCCCAGCTCGACCAGCTCGGTGCTTGTGCAATAGTTTCAAGTGGCCGGGCAACTTTTTCCATTATGAATGGTGCGGTTGCGCTTTTTTCCATCCATTATTTACGAGTTTTGAGTGCAAACTTGTTTCGCCAGCAAACAAGTGGCGGCCAGAGGATTAGAACACTCGCTCGACCGCTTTGCAGGCAGGATGGGTTCCATTGGGGGATGGGGGATCGGAGTGGCAATGGGGGAGTCCTGGCACTAAGTGCTAAAGTTTCTGCCATAAGCCAAAGACAAAGCCACGCCTCATTCGGAAATGGTCGGCAGGAAATGGTTTGAATTGCGCAACGAATCTCCAATGGCATTCCATTATTTGATTGTCCGTATTCATAGCGCACTTTTATGGGGTTTTACATTCCTGATAACTAATTGAAACACAAGTATAACTATGAAGTACTAAGGTCTAGTTTGGTGCGGATTGTCTAGGTCAGGCTTGCGAGCTTCGTCGAGTGAAATATTTATAGTTTCGAGACATGGAAACTATGCCACATAGAGTGGCAAACTTATCTGGTGCGATCAACTTTTATGCTCGCTTCTTGCCGCTTTTGCCTTGTTTTCGGTGGCCTGCAATTTTGATAAAAAGTTTCGAACATGTCTGCCGGGTCGATGCATTTATGCGTGTGCATAATTTTCAAAATCACTTGAGTGTTTTGCGAAACAAAGTCGAAAGTTTCGCCAACTTGTTTCACGCACTTGCAGGCACTGCACCGCCCCCCCGGAAAATTCCCCCCTCAACCGAAATATCAGAGGCTAGGCCGTCGCAATCTGCCGCCATACACAAGTTCTCTCGTGCGGAGAGAGAATGTTCTGCATTCCCTGACATTGATAAATGATTTTCCCCCGAAAGTTTAGCAGAAGAAAAGCCAAAACAAGCGGGTGGGTGGAGGGAAAATGCCGGTTGCAAAATGCATTCATGGCAGCAAAATTGTTGTTGCTCACTAAACCGTGAACCGAAAACCGAGAACCGAGAATGGAGAATGGAGAAAGGAGAAAGCCAAGTGGGTGGGAGAATCCGCCTGCTGGAATTATCGCAGCTCGGCATTCTCGAGAGCCAGTGACAAGAGCCAAAAGGCAGAGGCCGATGGAATCATAAATAAAATATAGAAGTGGATATATAGTACAGGGAGCTGGTGCTCGGTGCTCGGTGCTCCGTACTCGGTGCCCAATTTAATTATCCCCGGCGAAAGCCGAAAGAAGTGGCCAGGCCAAGAAATTTCATTCACTTAAAACTCCGGGGCGAAGTTCCTCCGAGCGAATGCAAATGAAAAACCACAACGCATGCTCAAGCCGAGTTTTCAGTTTGAGTTTTCCGCAGCTGCCCCGCAATGCCCCCGCCGTTTTCCGGCTTTCCCCCGGTTCTACATGTAATTAGAGTGCGAGGAATGCGCGCGGTTGCCAAAAATGTTGTGGCCGTGGGTGCTTTGATGTATATATGTACAAGGCAGGGTATATATATATATGTATGTGCGGGGATATCTGTGGAAAATGTAAATGTAAGCACCCGTTTTCCAACTGAAGCTGCAGCTTCCCGGCTACAGCAGCTGTGTCTCAACATCTGGCTGGCCGCAAAAGTTCAAGTTTGCTGCTTGTCTGCCGCCCAAGTCCTTTCTCGAGGACCTCCGCCTCCGCCTGTGTGTGTAAATTGGACGAATGTGTCGTTATGTCGATGTGTTGACATCCAAAGTGCACAAGAACGAGCTAAAAAGCTACAAAAAAGTGCCGCAACTGCACAGAACCCGGAACTTTTGCCCAAGTTGGCCGGCTTCAAGAGCAGCCGTTGGATGGTGCGGTCAAAACAGACAAAGTTATGCAGTTACTACAGTATTCTTGCACCCCCCTTCCCATCCTTCAACACTTTAAACCAACTCCGACATCGGGCCACAAGAATATATGTATTTTGCGAAAATAAATTCCCTCTTCTCTGTGCGGAAATCAAAAAAAATAAATCGAAAAGACTATTAAATGTTTCTATGCCTTGCCGCAGTTCGCATTTAAATTCAACCGAGCGAAATCAATGGCCGCCCAATTATTATAATTAATAAATGTTTAATCAGAAACTTAACCATTGTGTCGTTTAAATTGTTGATGGCCCGGCTCTTCCATCAAACGGCGCTCGAGTTCCGATTATTGCACTTATTTAAAAAGGATACCGAGCTCATCATTAATATCCTGCACATGGCATATAAACGTTGGTTAGTTTATGTCCATATTGTATCGGGTATACTGTGCGGAATAAATTGCTTTTGAAATTTCTGCTCTTTGTCCATAAAAAAAAGGGGGAACGCTCGCCCGCTCGCATTATTAACGCACATAAAACTCGCATATAAAGTGATTTAAATTTATTAAATATAAAACGCCACCACAGCGCAGCGCAGCGAAGATGCGAGCGCATAACAATTGCAATAAAATTTAACGTGCATCGATAAAAAGAATATCAAACCGAATAAAAACAACAACAACAAAGCGGCAGCGATCCGCTTCGCAGAGGAGAACTTCATTACTTGTTTGAATGAATGGGGAAAGTGCAAAAAAAAAAAAAAGCAGCAGGGAAATCGGGGAAAACAAAAAGAGCGAATATGATGGAAAAACCGCTCACAATGGGCTCGACGGATACGAGGGCCCCTGAATCCTGAATCGTGAATCGCGAATTCTGGATCCTGAAAGGCGGACCCGCTTTGTGCATCCCACAAATGAAGCGAATGAGGCGGGGCATTCAACAAAGGAGCGCGTTAAATGTTTTATATTTAAGAGCTCGCCAAACAGGCGATGTGTGAGTGAGTGACCGACGACTATAACCATTTTTCTACTCGCCTCTCCCCTCAATTCACCAGTCTCGTCATGAATAATTATGATTTTCAATTTAAAGAACATTTTCGCACAGCACAGGCCGCTTAATTGCTTTTCTTTCGATCGAATCGATACACAAATTGACTTGTCTCCCCTGCAAAATGTTAGGGGTGGCGGCAAATTGGATTTCAATTGTTGGGCAATTTTAAGCTGCTTCGAGGAATCCACTTACCGACAAGCACTTTGAAAAATAATACATAAAATATAAATAACATTTATTTCTTGCTTTTTAGATGACCAAAACAAGAACGGATTTCTTTCGGTGCACAAAAAATCAAACATATTTTTAGCTCGGATAATAGTTTTAAAGAGACTTGCAAATAGCCATGATCCATGAAAAAGTCGGATAAGCAAATCAAAAAATGTATATTTGAAAATTATCCTTCTGTGGCTTATTCAATATATAATTTATGCAGCGGGCGGTAATGTTATTATCGCAAATCAGAGGAAATATTATTGCACTCCCGATACTCTAGCATAGTCATATAGTATATATGAATATAATTCTAATTCCGCACTGCATGCAAATGAAATGAAAACGTGGCTAATTTTCTTTTCGCCCCTAAACGAAATCAATGGCAACTGTCAACACGCCATGCCGCCGCACCCCAAAGCTCAATAAAAATAATAAATAATAGAAAAATGCGCATAGAAATTGGCATTCGGATGGGTGCAAAATGGAAAGGGGGAATGAATCCGAGGAGGGGAAAATGTGCGTGACACTCGCTCAACTCGTGGGCTTTGTTCACTCCGCAAGGAAACCAACTGATTCGAAAGCGACATCACAGCACCCTGGATAAACAAGAGCATATAAATAAGCCGGGACTTTCAGTAATTAAATGGCTTATAGCGAAAACAGGGTGCCACCCAGTCGACTATTCGATCGCTGCTTCGATTTAGATTTTAAAATGGGCTCTCTGGGGTCCTTTGTGCCATTGACTGCGACATTTATATGCCACATGCGCGTTTTCACATAATAGACACTCGGTTGCAGATACATTTCTGCGGTTGACATCCCGACAAACTTGACAGCAGCAGCAGCCGCTATTTATTCAAACAGAGAACGTGGCCGAAAGCCTTTCAATAATTAGTCAGTCCATTTCCAATTACGCGCTGCAGTTGCAGCAGCACACAAAACCATTCACGGCACTCCACATTCTTCAATAAACTAGAAAAAAAAAATACTAATGAATTGAAAATAATTGTCCTACATCAAACGAACGGCGGCATGTCAGAGATATTTAATAGCGAGCCGCAAAATAATTACCCCGAAATAATTTACTATGAATTAGATACAAAGGCAAACAAGCAGCACAAAAGCGGACAACTTGCGCAATATAAATTAGAATTTGTTGTTTAATTGGAAATTTGATGCGAATGGCCGACCGACCGCCCCATCGCCTCCCGCTTAGCCGGCGAGCAAATTGAGCTTTTCTCAACGTATTAAATTCCATCAATGTGTACCTATTATTTTCAGAACGAGCTTCATTATTTCTGAAAATAAAACGTGGCCCCGACAGCAAGTTCGCTTTCCTGGATTGTTTTACAGGGCAGTGAAAATAATAGGAAGGGCAGCCAGCAAGAATCTATCCGGTTTTGCCATCAATTAGTTGCTGTTCCGGACAGTCCTGCCATCGAATCCGGACTTTTTGTGGCAGGCAGAAAGGGCAACCACCGAACACCGAAGGTGTTCTTTGTCATGACCTGGAACAGCAATACATTTCGGAAATTCGAATGGAAATGGATTGTGGAACCGACTAGAACAATAGGTGCTCACAAATCTCCGAATAATGAAAACTGCAATTTAATCTATGCAAAATTTTGGCCAGAAACTGCCTTAAAAAGCGTTTAATTCGTTCAACATGACTTTGGTTTAAAATCACTATGGATTTCTGTGGCTTCCGCAATAAAATTAAAATTTAACAATTCGACATTCTGCATTTGACTCACACGTTCTCATTTTCGGTTCGCTTCAAAGCCACACATCATAAAAAACTTCTATGCATCAGAAGCATAATATTTAATAAATAAATATTTCACATTTTTCTTGCAGCTGCCCAAAAAAAACATGGCCAATGAAACTAGCAAGGATCAACAGCAATTTAATTAAACCACAACGGATTCACTTGAATGCAGAGCATGAATTCGCAAAAAAACATCAACAAACGATGCTGTTGTTGCTGTTAAAATTCCTTACTTGCATAAAATATGAAATTCATACAATTTTAATACTGCCATTTGCGTTAATTAAACCATGAATCGGAGTCAGATAAAGACAGAGCCACTCGCTTAAAAATGCATACTCCCAAGTGCCGAAGTCCGAGGTGAGTTCTGAATACAAACATAATAAGATATATTGCCCACGTCTCGGATTCCCATTCCTGAAATACAATATTTTCATACAATTACGAGAGCGGCGGGCGGGGAGCAAATTTAATAAGAGCCAAGAGCCAAGAGCTTTTCTACACATTCAAAATATTTTGACAAGTTTTTCAATAATGCAATAAAGTTGCCAACTTGGGGCCCCCAGGGCGCTGGCAACGACGTCCAAGGACACTCCTGATGAAATGAAAATATTGCCCACAATTTGTTAGGTCCTGCCCGAGAACGTGGTCTCCCGGAAGTGGAACTGGCCAGGACTCCTTCTCCTTTTCGATCTCCTTCTCCTTCTCCTTGTCCCGGCCATTTGCGGCCACTTGTTTATCTTTCTGCATTACTTGCCCGCTTTCCCGCTCGCCGCCCACTTTCCCCGTGGAAAGACGACAGGAAGAAAGATTTTTCAATAGACCAGAACGTCGGACGGCCAACGCATAAGCAAATAATAAAAAACAACGCAGCGGCGGCGAGAATCGCGACCCTGGCAACGACCTTTGGGCCACTCATTTGTCAAAGGAGGAGTCCGGGAAGGAAGCCCAGCTCCCAGCTCCCGGGGCATCCATCTTGGACCCGCTCCCTGGCAACCAAGACATATGGCCGCGCTCCGAGCAAATCGCGCCGCTCCCCGTGACCAAAACAAATTAAAGCCCCGCTTTAAGGCCCGGCCAACAAATCAAGTCCTCTGGCCAACCGAAAGCGAAAAGCGGAGCCTTCCAGTCTTCCAACCTTCCGTCCTTCCTGCAAACTCGTCCTGGCACCGAAAACGACACGCAGGAGACAATTTTTACAAGATTTACCTGACCGGCATAAGTAATCGCACAGGGTCCTTGGGCCTTCGTCCTTCGTCCAGTCGGAGCCAATCGAATTCTAAACTGTCGTCCGAAAACGATTTGGACACAATACTCAAATCGGGCATCAAAGGGCAAGGACACAAGGCCATCAATCTGCTGAAGGGAAACGAGTGTTCCCGAAAATAGTTTCATTGGAAGAACTCCGAGTTGGAGAGTCCCAAAAAACAATAAAATTTGAGATTTATAAAATCAATTCAACAGATAGCCTTTTCATAATCACATTCCCCATAAATAGAGAAAAGTGGTGAGGCTTACCCACCTTTAATTTACAACGTTCTATTTAAAACGAGATCTAGCAATATGTCAAAAAAGTTCCTTGGCTTATCTCATGCTTTTCAAAAACCCCTTCGAATGCCATAAACTGCCCCGAAAGGTAAGCTATAAATTGTGGGAGCAAATTAAAGTTTAAGAGTTTCGGGGAACTTGAGCAATTTCCTGAGACCTGAGACCTCGGCTAGCCGACAATGAAATCGATTAAGCTGTCGCTGTCCCATGTCCATGTCCTTGTCGATGTACATGTACACATTCGCATCCTGGCCATGTCGATGTCCTTAAACATTTTGCAGCAGCAACTCATTAAAAAGCATTAAACGCCAGGAACGGAAGTCATTGAGGCTATCAGACGGAGACACGCTTCCGTTTCTCTACTTGAACAGTTCCTTCTTCTTTTCATTCCGTTTTTTTTCTCCGGTTGCTGGTTGCCTCTCCGGCACAGATTTACGGGGCCAAAAGTGCGTAAAAAGGAGGCTGCGGAGGAAGGAGTTCCGTCCGTCCGTCCGTCCGTTGGTCCGCTTGTCCGGACGGAGATTGTCACCGGGCCAATGGTGTTGGGGACTTCAAATGATTTATCGCCCGATAGTTAAGTTCAAAAGCGAAGCGCAAAGAGAAAGCCGGCAAGGACTCGCCCGCACAAATATTTATTTATAAAATTGTTATCCCAACCGGGCGGCAGTCCTCTGTTTCGGTTTTTGTTTCTGTTGCTTTTGCTTTTGCTCTTGCTGTTCCTGCTCCTTTCGATTCCTTCCGAGTCCTTCCGATTCCGTGGGAGCCCTTCGATTTGGTCCTTCGGCCGCGCGTCTTGCTCATTGCCAGGCATTCGCTCATTTTCAAATCGGATTTTATCAACTGAATGCCATTCTTGTGCAAATATCTTATCTCGCTGCCGCCGCGCAGGATAATGGCAACTTTTTCTCGCCGCCGCTCTACTTTGCTTTGCGTTCATCTCTGCTCCTTTTGGCTTTAGCTGGAGCTCAGCTCGGCTTTGGATCCCCGCTTTTGTATGGCTTTGGAATTATTTCGAAAGCGGAAATTGATTTTCCTTTCTTATTGTGCACGCTTTTTCGTGTTTCTGATTCTGATTCTGTTTCTGTTGCTTTTCCCTTCCCTTACCTTCCCTTCTCTAACATCCTGATTTCCCCCGACTCGGCGACAAGGCTCGCTTTACATATAAATAATTCGGCCAGGAGCCGGGGGACAGCAGCTCCCGGTATTTGTTTAGCCATAAATGGAAACTCACTTTCCCTTCACTCGCTCTCGGATTTTCCCCTTGCAGCGCCTCATTTGGCGCCATTGCGATGATAATGTGGCGATGATTAGAAGCCCCGAAGAGCTCAGTGCGGAAAGTACTTCGGCTGAAGTGGATTTTAACCCTATGCGGATTGAAGCCCTTATTCTGAATATTCCGAATATTTAGCAGATGTTCTTATTTCGTAAATTCACTCCTTTGGAAGCCAAAAATTACTTCCACAATATTTATCGATTTTAAAGAGGCATTACATTCGTTTAGATTGGTAAAGCACTTTTAAAGTGTCATCGTGGCTGAGGTAAAGAATATTACGTTGCTCATACGCAACGTTGGCCGCCAAGGGGTTAACCGAATTCGGAGCTGCCACTCGCTCAGCGTTTCTGGGCCAGGCTATCAGTGGTGGCGACCTGACCTGGGCCATTCATTCTGGCGGCGGAGCCGAGCCTAGTCCGAGGTCCTGGGTCCTGGGACAGTGGCCCGTATCCTTTGGCGCGTCTTTGACATTATGAATGATCAGCATAAATTTCCCTGAGCTCTCGCGCTCCAAGGCCCAGCTGCAGATACTCCAACGAGGACAGAGCGCAAAAAAAAAAGGCGGAAAGGCGAGATAACTAGCGAACAAAGTGAAGGACGGCTCAGAAATTCATTTCATTTCATTTCCTTTGTACGTGAGCAACATTTTTTATGCAATTCCCTGTAATAATTCTCTTGGTTGTCGCCTCTTCACGCATGAATATTCAAGCTTCAAGTTTCGAGCTTCATATTCAGAGCTCCATATTCCGAGTCCCCCTGGCTAATGAGAATTTTTATGGAATTTGAAAATTTTGGAAACCCAAATCGCGTCCGGATTGGTTTATTCACAGGCAAACAAAGGCCAACAAACTTGTACAATGAGCGCCCAAATAAGAGAGAGCAAATAATGTCAAAGCGGGGGGGGAAAAAAAGGGAAAACTAAATTCAGTTTACATAATATAGCTCATAAAATATTTTTCGCACATTCATTGCCCCTTGGCCCAAAACTAGGCCACACTCCAGTGGCCCTCGAACACAATTCGGGCATAAACAATAAAGTAAAACGACAATGGAGACGACGACAAACTTGAGGGCAAAATAACTTGAAACTTGGATATTTACATATGAAACGAAACGAAACGAAAGGAAAGGCAGGGAAAGGAAATCCACCCGCTCGACACGACAGACACAAAACAGGGAAGAATGTGGTAAATTCTGGGAAGGAAGGAGAGAGGATTGAAGGGATGAAGGGAGGCTACAGCGGAAGGATATGGATCGAGGGTCGGGCCTGAGTTCGAGACTAAACAGCACTAAATTAATTCTGCACAATTTGCATTAAAATATGCAAATAAAAAAATAAGAGAGGAGCGTTTAGCTCCTTCTTTCCCCCAAACTATAAAGGGGATCCATACGGCATATACAAGTAAAGTAGAGTCCCTCGAGTAAGCGGTAAGCATATGTGTGCTTCACTTTCGGTCGGGGGAGTTTGCCTTTTAAATTTCCAATGCCTCGTTTACGGCTTTAATGGCCCTCAAGCCCGGGGGAGAATTTCGGGTCCCAGTCCCAGGACTGCATCGCTTTTTGGCCTTCTTTCGGCTGGCTTGAGGGTTTCGATTATGAAAGTGCCACCCCGACCGAACCGCATTATTGCATGTGGTGCAGCAGGATGGGCCGGAGGAGGAGGAGTAGGAGCCCCAGGAGCACGGCCACATGTCTGACTGGCTCGCCGGAATATTACACCCGGAGAAGCTCGTTGCAAATTTGATTGTTCTTGGAGAGCGCGTGCCTCGTGCCTCATGCCTCGTGTTGCCGCCAAGAAAACTGGGCTCCAGGATCCAGGGATCCCGGGAAGCTGGAAATGGGAAATGGGAAAAGGGCCACGGGCGTCGGCATCCAATGAAGCATGAAACTTTAGCACACTTGCAACAGTTTCCCGTCCCTCCTCGCTCCTTTTCCTATTCCTTATTTTTCTTTCTTCCCTTTTTAAGAAATATGTTAGCTGCGACTTTGGTAATCTGCAGTGGGTGCTGCATATCCGTTTATATATGTATAAATATATATATATGTGTAAGAAGAAAAATAGATAATGGTGGGGAAATGCGTGCACAGTGAAGTGCAAGATGTTTAAGCAACAGCAGAGTATCTCAAGGCGTAAGTTGGTAGATACATCACTACAAAGCATCCCATCCTTAAAACAACAGATTCATTGGTGTTTAAAGAATATATCTGCAATAATCGAGTCTGAATCAATTCAGCAAAGTGTTGATCATCATTAAATTGTAAATGAGCCCAAAAGATATTTAATAGGCAATGCTAATAATAAGTTAAACATAAGTTAAAATCACAGGGAAGCACTATGCAATGCACTCAGCCAAGTTAAACGTAACAAACAACCTTCGTCCTGCCAGACTTCTACAATTTTAATTACTGTTCCGTTGCCATATATACTCGTATCTGGGAAATCCCCATCCAGGGAGACTCCATGATTAATTTGAGCACGAACATGTCAATATACTCGAACACACATGCGGGCTGGGCAATAGTATTACCCTATTGCTAC